ATCATCTATCTATCTATCCATCCATCCAGAAAAGTGTTTAAATTAAAACATAGATTAAAAACAACAGGGTGATAAAATAGCACCTGAAAAAATTATAGCGAAAATGTGCTGCATTGTTGATATGTTCATCCACCTAATCGCTGTCTACCTGCAGGAGGAGGAGATTGTAATACTCTTCCATTCTTCTGAAAAGAATGGCAGACTTTATGTGGACTGAGAAAATATAGAAGAACCACCAGAAAAAGAGGGGACGACAATGATTGGATGATGGCAAAACGTACAGCAATTCCACACTTCGAGGGGAATGCAACAAAGGCTAAGTGGGATATTTGTCTGTGTGGAACAAGGTCTGCTCATGCAATGAGACCTCTCCCCTGCATGTTCCTCGTGCACCCCTTAAACCTGCTCTGAGGGTTCCCCTAGATTTAAGGGGCACACAGGGCCTATGGGGCATGAGGACAGGGGAAGTCTTGTTGTATGAGCAGACCTCATTCCACACACGCAACAACTTAGTTAAATCCTGTCCTTTGCTTCCAGATGCCAATGAGTCATTGAGATATCACAAATGGGTTGTTGGCAACAGGCTGGTTGTTTTTTTTAACTTACTGGATTTCCCCTCGGAAAGGGTAAATTTGGATTAAATGGGAATAAAACAGAGGCTGGCATTTTAATACCAAGGTCATTATGTGGACGCTGCAACGAATTTCCATGTGTGAGGGGCACAGGGCACTCATCCTGTCTGGAACCAACGTTGATCTGAGGAGGTTCGGAGTAATGAGAAGATTCTTAGGCTGTGTACACACTTTGAAATATATTGTTTCCTTCAAAGAATCCTGGGGACTGACATTTGTTAAGGGTTGCTGGGGATCATAACTCTGTGAGGAGTTGTCGACTACAATGCCCATAATTTTTTAAGGGGATGAATGCGCTTTGAAAGTACGGCATGCGTACATCACCTGGGAAAGAGGGAAAGATTGGAGAGAAGAAGAGGGCCGAGATACTGAAGAGACCACAGAGAAGGTGTGGCAGCCATTTCCTAAATGCTACCTACTGATACCTTACCAACAAAGGTCCGTATAGTTAAAGCTATGGTTTTCCCAGTAGTGATGTATGGAAGTGAGAACTGGACCATAAAGAAGGCTGATCGCCGAAGAATTGATGCTTTTGAATTATGGTGCTGGAGGAGACTCTTGAGAGTCCCGTGGACTGCAAGAAGATCAAACCTATCCATTCTTAAGGAAATCAGCCCTGAGTGCTCACTGGAAGGACAGATCCTGAAGCTGAGGCTCCCATACTTTGGCCACCTCATGAGAAGAGAAGACTCCCTGGAAAAGACCCTGATGTTGGAGGGTGTAAGGAGAAGGGGACGACAGAGGACGAGATGGTTGGACAGTGTTCTTGAAGCTACCAGCATGAGTTTGACCAAACTGCAGAAGGCAGTGGAAGACAGGAGTGCCTGGCGTGCTCTGGTCCATGGGGTCACAAAGAGTCGGACACGACTAAAAGACTAAACAACAACAACATTTTCTTTCCCAATTCCATCCCATTGTCAAGAAGGAATTAACTATGTCAGCTCCAAGGCCGTCATAGTTTCTGGCCCCGTTTCAGGAAGTGTCCGTGGATGAAGAAAGCCCTTGTTACAAGGAAACTTAGGATCCTGCAGAGAGAGAGAGAGGCTCACATTATCCTAACTGCCATCGCCTGTCATCCGTTCTCATTTGCTATCTCCGTGCATCTTTTAATGTGCGCAATCTGTTGCCCAGAGGCTTTTTCAAAATGGGTGTTGTCCCATGTCATGTAGTATACATTACCAGGGTGGCAAGTTTCAATGCAGCCATTTGTATGTGTGTATGTGCGGTTTCACTACAGCACTTGTGAAAGTAATGCTGCGAGCTGACGGGGACTATGATGTCACAAATATTGCATCGATTCCTTCCCACACCTGTGGTTATGTCAGAGTGTTTTGAGGACAGGAAATTGAATGTTCTGATGGAAGACAAAAGCTGCCTTTTGTTCCATGGCGTCATTCAGCTTCCCAGAAGGGACATCCCAGAAAGCGAAGCCACTTCAGTTCAGAAGTGGTTCACGTGCAGGAACAGTGATCACAAGGAAATTCACTTACGTAACTGGTGCCAGCACGAGTCTGTGGCTGATCCAAAGCGCTAAATATCACATGGATTAAAAATCAAACAAAATAGATTGAAAGCAGATGTCTAATAGCATCTGGCAATTAAAATACCGGTACTTGGGTTCTGGCAGTAGCTCTGAGGAAAATCTACAGTACAGTGGTGCCCCGCAAGACAAATGCCTCGCAAGACGAAAAACTCACTAGACGAAAGAGTTTTCCGTTTTTTGAGTCGTTCCGCAAGACGAATTTCCCTATGGGCTTGCTTCGCAAGACGAAACGTCTTGCGAGTTCTTGCGAGTTTGTTTCCTTTTTCTTAAAGCCGCTAAGCCGTTAATAGCCGCTAAGCCGCTAAGCCGTTAATAGCCGCTAAGCGCCGCTAAGCCGCTAATAGCCGTGCTTCGCAAGACGAAGAGACTCGCGGAATGGATTAATTTCGTCTTGCGAGGCACCACTGTATTTGGTTCGAAACAATTCCGAAATTCTATGTCAATGCCCCCTAGTGTGCTGCAAGAGTATTACTAGTGTGCTGTGCAAAACTTTAATGGAATACAGTGGTACCTCAGGTTAAGTACTTAATTCGTTCCAGAGGTCTGTACTTAACCTGAAACTGTTCTTAACCTGAAGCACCACTCCTGCTGCTGCCGCACCACCGGAGCACGATTTCTGTTCTCATCCTGAAGCAAAGTTCTTAACCTGAAGCACTATTTCTGGGTTAGCGGAGTCTGTAACCTGAAGCGTATGTAACCTGAAGCATATGTAACCTGAGTACCACTGTAATTAAAGGTTGTTGTCTGAACAACCCATACATACACAAACACATGGAGGGTGACCTGCTGTCTCTCTTTATGAGATGCTTCTCTAAAATTCCTCCTTCTCTCCCTTCCTCCCTCCCTTCCAATAATTCTGTTATAGGCAACTAATGCTGTGTGTTAGGTTTGATTGCATTAGGTCAAAGATGGACTACAACTCCCTTTATCTATGACCAAACTGAAGGAGGGTCTCCACCCCCATCGTTCTGCCTGGACACTGAGATCCAGCACCGAGGGCCTTCTGGCGGTTCCCTCACTGCAAGAAGCCAAGTTACAGGGAACCAGGAAGAGGGCCTTCTCGGTAGTGGCACCCACCCTGTGGAACGCCCTCCCATCTGACGTTTAGAAGACATCTGAAGGCAGTCCTGTTTAGGGAAGTTTTAAATGACTGATGTTTTAATGTATTTTTAATCTTTGTTGGAAGCTGCCCAGAGTAGCCAGATGGGCGGGGTATAAATAATAAATTATTATTATTATTATTATTATTATTATTAACTGGCTGCAGCTGGTAGGAGCTGGAGTCCCGCAACATCTGAAGGGCCACAGTTTCCCTATTAGCCATTCACTCTCAGTTCAGACACTCGAGCAAACAAAACCTTTGACTGCCACCTCAGGATCTTAAAAAGAGCTCTGTTGGATTTGACCAGTCCCAGATCCTGTTTCCTGAAGCAGTCAACCAGTTGTCTTCAGGAAGTCCATAGGTAGTGTGTGATAGAAATAGATCTCACCTATAATATACCGCCCTGCCGCCGGCATTCTGAGGAATATTACCTCTGGATATAGAGAATCTGTTTATGGCTGATATATTGGGTTCGTTGTTCCCATATGGCTCTTATCCTCCACAGATAAGAGAGCCAGTGTGGTGTAGTGGTTAAGAGTGGTAGTCTCGTAATCTGGGGAACCGGGTTTGCTTCCCCGCTCCTCCACCTGCAGCTGCTGGGTGACCTTGGGCCAGTCACACTTCTTTGAAGTCTCTCAGCCCCACTCCCCTCACAGAGTGTTTGTTGTGGGGGAGGAAGGGAAAGGGGAATGTTAGCCACTTTGAGACTCCTGAAGGAGTGAAAGGCGGGATATCAAATCCAAACTCTTCTTCTTCTTCTTCTTCTTCTTCTTCTTCTTCTTCTTCTTCAGATTAATTTAAACACCTTGTGAATCCTGCTAAGCCAATGGCTACCATCATCTTTCCTCTGTCCTGTATCTACTGCTAATAAATTTCACTGAGCTCTAGTATGATGGAGGGAGGCAAAACAGCTATTTAGGTTGCAATCCTATGCACAGGTACAACAGAGGAAATCCGACCGAATACAGTGCAACTTAACTCCGAGTCAACATACATAGGATCATACCGTGACCCACTTTCTCTACACAATGCATACTTGAATCAATTTTCTCCTGTCCCTCGCCTTAAACATAGCTTTTTACCCTAATTCTCCCATGCCTCTTTGTCAGAGGCATGTGCTGCCAGACACAGCAGAGCTCAGTGGAGGGAGATAATTATTATTTTATTTCAACAAAGTAATAATCATAAATGAGGGACGTGGGTGGCGCTGTGGGTTAAACCACGGAGCCTAGGACTTGCTGATCAGAAGGTCAGCAGTTCGAATCCCCGAGACGGGGATCGGCAAGTCCTAGGCTCCCGTTGCTCAGTCCTGCTCCTGCCAACCTAGCAGTTCGAAAACACGTCAAAGTGCAAGTAGATAAATAGGTACCGCTCTGGCGGGAAGGTAAACGGTGTTTCCGTGCGCTGCTCTGGTTCGCCATGTCATGCTGGCCACATGACCTGGAAGCTGTACGCCGGCTCCCTTGGCCAATAAAGCGAGATGAACGCCGCAACCCCAGAGTCGGCCACGACTGGACCTAATGGTCAGGGGTCCCTTTACCTTTTAATAATAATAAATAAATAGGAATTAAAATGTGCACCCCACCACTGAAACGAGTCCATTGTAACTGTCCAACCTCCCAAAATTTCAAACCTCTTGTGATGGTTTGCCCCCTTTCCGTTTTAACAACAGTGTTTGGTGTTAGTAGAGTTTGTTTGTACTATCCAGTCCTAAGGTCAGGAGTTACCTCAGTTTGCGTAGTCAGACGATCCGGGGGTCAAGAAAGCCGAGTGTCCAAGGTCACGAGAAGCAAGAAGCAAGAAGCAGCAAGACCTGGTCAGGAACAACGAATGTTAATGTTTCCAGCAACTGACTGAGGCTGGAAGCACTGCTTAAGAAAGCTGGAACCAGGTGGTTCCCATCAGAAGCATGAAGGCTGATCAGCAGTAGTAGGTGGAGTCACTTCACCTTCTGCTCCTTTAGGCTGCTGCTCAGCAGGTGAAGCCAACTCCTCGCCCCTGAAACCCTTTCCACTCTTGCTAATCTCTCTATCTATCCCCCTCTTCTCCAATGTATATTGTGAAGCATTTAGACACGGGCCAGTTCTTTCATCTTGGGCTCTTGGATGTTGTTGAGCTACAACTTCCATCACTCCTGACCCTTGTCTAAGTTGGCTTGGAATGATGAGAGTTGTGATCAAACATCTAGGGATCCAAGGTTGAAGAACACTGCTGTACAGTGCCAAGCACAATGTCAATGCTATATGTATGGATTAATAAACTGATCTGGGTTAGGTGCAAGCAGAAATGTGGAAGCCAACGCTATTATTATTATTATGATTAATAATAATACCCCGCCCATCTGGCTGGGTTTCCCCAGCCACTATGGGTGGCTTCCAACAAAATATTAAAAATATAAATAACAGGGATGGCAAACTTCCAAGAGAGTGTGATCTACTCACAGAGTTAAAAACTAGCAGTGATCTACCCCCTTTTGGGGGGTTCAGGTCAAAGTTGTTGAGCTTCTTTAGGGAAGAGGAAAGCGGCGTTGAACTTTTTTTTAGGAAGGAAAGCCCTGTGGGCCTTTTGGTGGTTCAGGTCATTTTAGGGGTGCAGGAAAATATGTTGAGCTTTTTTTAGGGGAGCCAAAGATTTTTAGCTTCTTTGGGGGGAGCCACTGATCTACCAGTGATCGACCACAGACATCGAGTGATCTACCGGTAGTTCACGATCTACCTGTTGGACATGCCTGCAATAAAACATCAAACATTTTAAATTTCCTGCTACAGGGCTGCCTTCAGGGGTCTTCTAAAAGTCAGATAGTTGTTCATTTCCTTGACATCTGATGGGAGGGCGTTCCATAGGACGGGTGCCACTACTGAGAAGGCCCTCTGCCTGGTTCCCTGTAACATCACTTCTCGCAGTGATCCTTGGAGCTGGACCTCAGTGTCTGAGCTGAGCAATGGGGGTGGAGATGCTTCTTCAGAAAGCCCTCGGCCAGGTTCCCTGTAACTTCACTTGAGGTCCTCATTTGAATTTTGAATTCTTAATTTGACAACTATAATGTTCTTCCCTTGGGCTGCCATTGAAGACAGTTCAGAAACTTCAGCTGATTTAGGACGTGGCAGAAATGGGTGCTCCATTGTCTTATATTGCTCTTCTTCCCATTCATTTTTAGTTAATTTCTGGGCTTAATTCAATATGATACTGCTAAACTTTAAACCCTTTAGGCTTGAACACTGAAAATTGAAAGGAAAAGAGAAGCTATCCAGAGCTCTGGGATGAAAACAGTACTTCTGTCAACAGTGGCAAACAAACCACTCAGCCAATAACAGAGGGAGCTTCCACATTGTCACTATTTTCATGTAGAATTCAATTCCCATATTGGAAAATTCAGGTGATAACTGCTCTTGCACAACAGCCCCTCTCTCTGGACTTTTTGCAATAAGGAAAGTGAAGGTGAATGCACTGGAAAGTGTAGAAAAATATTGGCACCATCTAAGCTTCCTGAAAACAAAGCAGAATGTGTGCTCAATAAATAGCAAAAATCGTCTAACCTTCCTGCAAACAAATCAGGAAAAATGCTCAACGAAAAGGTCATCTGGATGCAACCAGAGTGAACATTTGAACGGGCAACTCTGTTATTGTGTTTATTGCTCTGCTTGTAGGCTTCTGTTTTTTAAAAAACTGGTGAAAGGCAGGAGATAGGACTTGGGTATTAGGATTACAGAAAGTACACACAAAAAAGCCACCCCAGACTGTTGAAGATCTTGTGGCGAGCTTGGGACTTATCTCCACATGTGGTGGCCATGCCCTAGGGACAATTTTATTTTCTGAAACCACCCTTTTTCACAGATCAGCCTTTGAATACGCCACCAGCCTTAGCCCTATTGAACTTATTTAAGATGCTAACCAAGATGTTGTCTTTAAAGACTTGTTGCTTCATCTTTTACTGCCAGTGCATCTAGAGATAACGCACTGGAGGAGCGGGAGCGTCATTCCCTCGACTCACGATATGGTCAGGTTTGGACTGTTGCTTCAGCTGAGGAATAAACCTGTCAACTTCAAAAAGCACCCACAAAAACAGACAAAATTTTCCACCGCTTGCTATTCCTTTATTCAATTCATCAACACAATGGGATAGAGACAAGAACTACTGACCATGCCTGGCCACTTGTGAAAAGACATGTTTGACATTGATCTGCATCTAGATGATTCTATGACGTTGTGTGCTCACATCACCGGCAATGTTATTACATTTGCAATTGCCTGTCATTTTTTTGACTGGTTTGAAAATAACAGGGGCTTTATTTTTTTGTTTTATTTTTTTAAAGGAGGGTTTTGTATGTGTGGTGGAGAAAGGGGCGCTGAGGGACTGGTGGGAGCTGGGGAAATAGAAGACCAGCTTCTTGGTTTCCTCTTCCCGGATAATTTTCTGACATAGGTATTAGATGATGTATGATTTGGATTTTCTGTGTGCAGGTAGGGAGAAAAAAGGGAGTTTTGTGCTTTGCCCACCCTGCCTGGAGATGCCTACGCTCTGAACCCATTAGGCAAATGAACCAATTTCTGAGGTGACCCACAATCCACACTGGAGTGCCCAGACCATGGTATCACTTCTGCTTTTCTTCCAGTGGACTTAGCAGTGTCACTGTCACCATGAATGGGATCTGCTGGACTTAGCTCTGCTCCCTGACATCACTGCAGTTGTAGTACAATCCCCACCTGTCAGGCCCAGAAGGGAAATCCCCACTATTTGCCTGAGTCAACCTGTGGCAGAGAATATAAATAGAGGGATCCTGGTTCCTCAAACAATCAGTCTCAAGGCAAGTCCTCGTGAATCATCCCAGGCTCTTTCTGAATTCCTCAGAGATGCAGAACAACTCAAGGAACCTCAGGGCAAGCTGTCTTCTGGGCTTCTTGCTGCTACTGGTTGCTGCTTCCAGGGGGATGAGGCTGCCCAGGGAAAACAAGCCTTCCTGGAAGGATTGCAAAGATGCCTCTCAGGAGATACTCAGCGAGTTGTGGAAGCTGAGGCTAGAGGAGAAGGTGATGGTGGTGAGTAAAAATAGAATTCATTGCTTTCGCTCAGCAAAGCAGTCTGAGGTTCCAAAGAGGAGCGTGGATCGCGACAGAGCTCCAACAGCGAAGACGTTTGCATCGTGACACTTTTCAAGGCCGGTTTATTATGGCTTATGCTCTTTCTGGACCACTTTGTCAGATGCATATGAAATGGTATCCTGAATTGGCAAACATTGGGGACACATGCCAGTGGAGGGCTGGAATGTAAAGGAGCGAGTTTGGTAGGGAAATGAATTAAAGGATAGCAAAGAACGGACACTGACAATTAGCCTGAAAGCAGAACCGTTCTGTTCCCCAGACTGGCTTAGGGTTCAGAAAAGTTCATTTGTGGGGCGTTTCATGATTGAGCATCCCTCACAGAAAAGTGACCTAGAGGGGAAAGGTTGCGGTTTAGAGATGGAGATGAATGGCCAAATCTATCCATTTCAGTTTTTCTCAGTGTCTTCCCTTTTTTTTAATTATGAAGTACAGTTCTCCACATTTCCACCTCAGTTGGCAATTTGTTTTTTCAAAGTCCTCATGAAAATCCACCAGCATTTTAGTGCAACCAGCAGTTTGTATGCAATTTTGCACTGATATATTATGGAAAGAAGTTACAGGGAACCAGGCAAAGGGCCTTCTTGGTAGTGGCTCCTACCCTATGGAGTGCCCTCCCTTCAGATGTCAAGGAGATATGTAAATACATACTTCTGGACCACTTTGTCAGAAGACATCTGAAAGCAGCCTTGTTTAGGGAAGTTTTTAATGTTTGATGTTTTATTATGCTTTTATATTTGCTGGAAGCTGCCCAGAGTGGCTGGGGCAACCCAGCCAGATAGGCAGGGTACAAATAATTAAATTATTATTACTATTATTATTACTATTATTATTATTACTTGCAAACCAATTTCCCGTAATATGAAGCATTTCTGATATGTTATTTTCACCATTTTATGCATTTATACTCACACTTTACTTCAGTATATGCATATTTATGCCCAGGTTGGCATTGCAGAATTCGGAGAAGTTCAAAGAATTTCAAAGGATGGCTGTCTTTTGGTTCTCATATTGTTTTAGAAAGTGCAGATTAGGGAGATTCACCTGTAAATGAGAACTAGATTGACTTTCTTCCCCCATCCCTAGTGGTGGAGCCACTCTTTTGCATTTATATTTAGTTATATTTATTTAATCCCCCCGGGAGAAAACCCTCATAAAGTGGCTTATACATAAAACTGTTCTATCCATTTCAGTAAAACATAGTCATTTTATACAGCTGCTGAAAACTTGTCATAATCTGGCAGGGCACTCCTATAAAACTAGTTTTAGTTGTTATTATTCTATTCATAAAAATATTTATATCATTAAAAGTATGTCAGTGGTTTGTAGCAATAAAAATTAAATATGTACAACAAAATCCATATAAAAAAAGAAAAACAAAAAACAGACATCCATTAACCACTGTGGAAGGAAATATTCTTAATTGCCTGCATAGGCTTGGCAGAATAGAAAGATATTCTGCACACATTTAAAAGTTGGCACAGAAGGCACCTGGTTAATTCCTCTTGGCAGAAGATTAAACAATTTAAGGGGAGGAGTGCGATTCTAAAACAGCAGCACTGTAAACTGGTGGTTTTCAACCAGTGTGCTGTGGCACCCTGGGGTGCCTTGAATGGTGGACATGCGTGCCACGGGCAACACTGGCCTCTGTCCCTTTTTCCTTCCCTCCCTCCTCTGATGCCCTCTCCTGTCTCTGCCTCCCAAAGGCTTGCACAGCTGTTTGTCACAGCCTCCGTGGCTACAAGCTCCCCAGGCAAATGATGCCTCTGAGGCTGGCCAGGGGGTGCTTCCCAGGCCCCTGTGGGGCAGTGTGAGGAGGCACCTCGCTTTGGGACGGGGGGGGGACAGGTCAGAGATCAGGGGCAGCGGCTGCCCAGAGGACTCCCAAGGAGAGGGGAGAAGAGGGGAGGCTGAGGGAACACTCCACAAGGGTGTTTGAAAAAGGGTGAGGGGCTGCTGGCTCTGCAGGCAAGGGGTGACACGACTGGGTTCCTGACCCCCACAGGGGTGCTGCAGAAAGAATGTACAGTCGTACCTTGGTTCTCAAACATAATCTGTTCCAGAAGTCTCTTCGACTTCCGAAAACGTTTGAAAACCAAGGCATGGCTTCGGATTGTCTGCAGGAACTTCCTGCACTCACTCGGAAGCCGCGTCGGACGTTTGGCGTCCAAAAAATGTTTGCAAACTGGAACACTCACTTCCGGGTTTGCGGAATTCGGGAGCCAAAACGTTCCGAGTTGCAAGGGATTCGTGAACCAAGGTACAACTGTACAGTGGTACCTCGGGTTACATACGCTTCAGGTTACATACGCTTCAGGTTACAGACTCCGCTAACCCAGAAATAGTGCTTCAGGTTAAGAACTTTGCTTCAGGATGAGAACAGAAATTGTGCTCCGGCAGCGCAGCAGCAGCAGCGGGAGGCCCCATTAGCTAAAGTGCTGCTTCAGGTTAAGAACAGTTTCAGATTAAGTATGGACCTCCGGAACGAATTAAGTACTTAACCTGAGGTACCACTGTGGTTGGTCAAGGAAGCTATGGACTCTAAAAGGTTGAAAACCGCTGCCGTAAACACAGGCAGTTGGCTCAACTAAAAACAGCCCCAAATAAAGGGGTAGCCAAAGCCAGAAGGGATCGTGTCCAATGTTGTCCCCTTGAGAAGGAGTTCGAAGCATTCCAAAATTGTTCTACAAAAGATGTATTTGGCAAAACTGCATGCAAACATGTGTATATTGGGAGGAATCAGTGCTAAAACGCTGGTGTAGTTTCATGATGATAATGATGATGTGTGTGGAATTCTGGGGAACTGAATCTGACTGGGAAAAAGAAAAACTGAAATAGATGGATTCAACCATCTCTACCACTGGTACACCAGTTCACATCACCCTAATCATTGGGCATGTTGCCTGGGGCTACTGGAAGTTGTGAGTCCAATAATAGTTGGAGGACCACTAACACCCCTACTTTAACGAGAGACAAGAGGTAGTGATTATCTTCAGACCACATACATAAGTTCCATGTTACTTACAGTGCAATCCTATTCATGTTTACTTCAGTCAAAAGTAAGTCCCACTATTTTCAGTTGCTGTTATTCCTGGGTAAATGCGCATAGGATTGTAGCCTTAATCCAGAGTCACTACCACCCCCTGGCTCTGCACTGGCAGTCGCTGGTGTAGACAAGTAGTGCCAGATTTAGGGTTTTATGCCACAAGTTGAGGGGGCACAAAAATGGAGAAAGATCCATAATTGAGACAATCCATTTGGGGGCGCCAAATTTTGGCCTCGCAGAGGGTGCCATATTACGAAAGATTAGCAAAGTCTGCCCCCGGCACAAGTGGAGAAGAGAAGGAGAAGGACAACAAAATAGTTAATGAGCAATGTTCTCCTATAAAGTCATTCCAGAATTTTCTGGTATTAAATTGTCCTTTCTAAATACCGAACACTTTCAGTTACCCATGTCAAGGAAGGCCCACTCCCCTCAGTTTGTCCCCAGGCAGGGATCAGTTTAAATCAGTGTTTCTCAAGATTGGGGCGCCAGCTGTTTTGGGACTACAATTCCCATCATCCCTGACGACTGGCCCTGCTAGCTAGGGATGATGGGTGTTGTAGTCCAAAAAAACCACCACCACAACAGCTGGTGATGCAAGTTTGGGAAACACTGGTTTAAATAATAGCTGAGGCCATGAATACCCTCTTTATTTACTGCTGCAGCAGGACAGCACCCCCGGAGCCAATCTGAAGGGAACTGCCCCGAGCAAAGGGTTTTGACAGCTTTTATACCTTTCAATAATTGGTGTAATAAAACAAAGCAGGGCACATGCACACTCCAGGTTTCTTTGCATTGGTTATATATAGCATCCCTGTCTTGTTGAGTTTCTCCACCCTTGCCACATGTCAGTCTCAAGACATTCAACTGTGTAGGATGTGACACAAGGTACTTGACTGTGTCGCATGACAAGCTAGCATCTTTACCCAGTGACATTTAGCAGGGGGTTAAGAATTACACAAACAACTGCACGGAACATTTCCCACGGCTCTCTTCACAGCAACGAACAAACAGTGAAGTCTGACCCAGCACATTTTGAAAACGGCAACTCCTCCTCGCATGTGGTTTTAAAAGTTTCGCATTCTCTCTTGTTCCTCTTCGTTTTGAAACCTTGTGAGGTGAAGCAATTGCTGTTTGTTTGTTTCCCCCCGTTTAATATTCTAATATTGCAGCATAATTGGTCCTCGATTTCACATGATTGTGAGCGGAAACTCCATACTTTTACCATTCTCTAAACAGGCTTCCTCAGACTCGGCCCTCCAGATGTTTTGAGACTACAACTCCCACCATTCCTAACCACTGGTCCTGCTAGCTAGGGATTGTGGGAGTTGTAGGCCAGGAAACATCTGGAGGGCCAAGTTTGAGAAAGCCTGCGAGTCTAATAATTAAAATTCCACCACTCAGATGCAACCTAATGCTTCAGATGGTGAACCTTAACCTTACTGTGGACTGCTGAACCATAATGATCTAGAGCTAGGACTTATATCTTTGGATGGTTTCTAATCTGCTCACTCTAAGCCAGTACAACTCCCATCGTCCTTGACTGCTGGCCAAGTATGAGGAGTCTAACAATATCAGGAGGGCCGCAGCCTGGCCACCCCTGCTCTCGAGTAACTAGATGCGAAGGAGAACCAGGCGACTCTAGAAGGGAGAAGGGCTGCCATCAGCGTTAGAGAGTGTGGTGCAGAGGTTAGAGTCGAATTAGGAACTGGGAGACCAGGGTTCAGATGTCCACTCGGCTATGTGTAGATGTGTAGCTAAGATCCGTTGGACTGTTTCCAATATTAGGGGCAAACAGGGAATGATCTGACAAACACGCACACATAAATAAAGTGACAGGTTGTCAGATACCATTCTCAAACCCCGGGAAATGCTTGCTGCAAACCTTTTCTAGCTTGTAAGCTGCATTCCTTTCTGAGCAACCTTCATGTCAATGGTGGGTGGGATCAGAGACAAAGGTGGGCCCAGCAAACAACCTGAATATATTACCTGAGGCTAGTAGGCTAGTTTCTACACACACAAACACCTCATTACCCTCCCTCCAGGCAACCAAGTAGTATTACCAGCATGAGCAGACAACATACCCTCCAACATTTCTCCAATGAAAATAGGGACGTCCTATTCCTTAATAATAATAATAATTTTATTATTTGTACGCCGCCTATCTGACTGGGTTGCCCCAGCCACTCTGGGTGGCTTCCAACTTATATAAAAACATAAAACATTTTTTAAAATTTCCCTATACAGTGGTACCTCGGGTTACATACGCTTCAGGTTACAGACTCCGCTAACCCAGAAATAGTGTTTTAGGTTAAGAACTTTGCTTCAGGATAAGAAGAGAAATCGTGCTCCAGCGGTGCGGCGGCAGCAGGAGGCCCGATTAGCTAAAGTGGTGCTTCAGGTTAAGAACAGTTTCAGGTTAAGAACGGACCTCTGGAACGAATTAGGTACTTAACCCGAGGTACCACTGTGCCTTCAGATATCTTCTAAAGGCTTTGTATAGTTACTTATCTCATTGGCTCAGGCGTCGCATAACTCCATACCCTTCAACATTTCTCTGATGAAAATAGCGATGTCCTAAGGCGAAGCAGAACATTCCAGGATCAAATCAGAATCTGGGATGGCTTCTGTAACACTGGGATTATACCTGGAAAATAAGGACACTTGGAGGGTCTGAGACAGCGTGGTGAACAGGCCATTCCCCTGACCCCTGGTCCTGTGGCGGCTGTTTACTGGGAGGCAGAAGGGGAACAGAAAGGTTGGCACGGTGCAAACAGACACTGGCAGGAGTACAGGAACAGATCCCCCTGATGCATTTGCACCGCAGCACCAACCTCTCTGCCATCTCACCCCTACCTCTCTCTACCTCCCAGTATGCAGCAGCAACACAACTGAACAAAGGCCAGGTGAGTGCTGCTGCCCCAGAACACTGTCTGCTATTTATTATCTGAGCTCAAAGGCGCATATCATCCAGGTAAAAGTACTCAAGGTGCAAAGCACATGGCTGTCAACTTTCAGATTTGAAAATAAGAGATCAGCAGCCTTGAAAATAAGGGATCAGCAGCCTCACCTGTCCGGGGGACAGTCTACGGGATATCTAACAATCTGGGATAGCGGGAAGCAACGGGAAATGGCGCTGGAATAAGGGAATTTCCCGCAAAAATGAATGAAACAACAGAGGTGAGAAAAAGAGATTGTAAGGTGGAACGCAAGGCAGGAGGAATACCAGAAGCGGGGCTTCAGGCCTGCTCAAGATACATCTTTACACCGAGTTTCTCTTTATCACCCCCCCCAGGAGGCAAATACGAGTGTTTCACTTCCCCAGAGGATTGAATGCAGTGACAAATGTGATCCAGATTCGTTGGACAATAATAAAATGGTAAGTGTTTTTGCGAGCGCACGCGCTGAACCCTGTCCGTGGAGCCTACCCCCCAAAGACAGAGACAAGAGACCAAAGTATGGGTTCAAATTGGCCACAACTTTATTTAACTTCAGAATGTGGGAAATTTGGCCTAGGCCTTGGCATGTAACCCTCTCAGCCCGTCTGGGACTGAGGATGTGCAGGCCAATGTGGTACAGTTGGAGGGGACTGTAAAGGACAAACTTACACAGCATGTCCTCCCACCTTACCTCCGGTCAAATGTAGTTTGACCTACATGCCGCCGCACTAGGGCCAGGGACTCCCGCAATCAACCCTTTGATGGGCCCTGCAAACACCGCCGCGTGGGGGTGCATGTAATGCCTCCCCCCCAACTTGAAGATAGACTAAGGGATACCTTAGGTAAAGGTAAAGGGACCCCTGGCCATTAGGTCCAGTTGTGGCCGACTCTGGGGTTGCGGCGCTCATCTCACTTTACTGGCCGAGGGAGCCGGCATACAGCTTCTAGGTCATGTGGCCAGCATGACCAAGCCACTTCTGGCGAACCAGAGCAGCGCACGGAAACGCCGTTTACCTTCCCGCCGGAGTGGTACCTATTTAGCTACTTGCACTTTGATGTGCTTTTGAACTGCTAGGTGGGCAGGAGCAGGGACCGAGCAACGGGAGCTCACTTCGTTGCGGGGATTCGAACTGCCTACCTTCTGATCGGCAAGTTCTAGGCTCTGTGGTTTAACCCACAGTGCCACCCATGTCCCTAAAGGATACCTCGCTAAGGCCTAAAAACTGCCACCCGAGGCCCTAAGGGGCCTTGCCGCCAAGAAACCCACAGCTGAAGAACAAACACCTGTCCGCCCAATCTTTGCGGTCATGCACCCAAAGCTCATTTCCCGTGGGGGGTCAAATGCACCCCATCAGCCCTAAACAGCCCACCCTTCTCCACTCTGATGGTGGGATCTGGAATAGTCTGCCAATTGGCCGCATGGTGTTGCCCATGGCCTTGTTGATTTCCTGCACCGCATACCGTAATTGATGCGAGAGGGCCTGTTAACCCCTCTCCAGCACAGGCGGGGAAGGAGATTGGACTAGCAGATGGTCATTGCTGGGTACATGGCCTGCAAGCTTTTGACGTCTGCCCTGGCGGCCAGGGTCAGGGCAACGCTTTTCCCCTACACCAAGTCATTCTCTCCCAGGTGCAGAACCAAAACTTTTGGTGGTCTGTGCGCAGCTGCCGCCCTCAGCAGCATGGGCATCAAGGCGGGCCCATGCATGCCCTGCCGGTCCACCCACTAGACATGTACCTTGGGGTGGATGTCAAGACTGCGGCCCCAGTAGCAACGAGGCATAGGCTGCCGCCCCGTGAACGATGCTATGCCCCACCACCCATATCTTCGTGCTGGGCAGACCTGCAAGAAAACTAAATTGCAGCCAGTAGTGATGTATGGAAGTGAGAGCTGGACCATAAAGAAGGCTGATCGCCAAAGAATTTATGCTTTTGAATTATGGTGCTGGAGGAGAGTTACATGGGCTGCAAGAAGATCAAACCGATCCATTCTGAAGGAAATCAGCCCCGAGTGCTCCCTGGAAGGACAGATCGTGAAGCTGAGGCTCCAATACTTTGGTCACTTCATGAGAAGAGAAGACTCCCTGGAAAGACCCTGATGTTGGGAAAGATGGAGGGCACAAGGAGAAGGGGACGACAGAGGACGAGATGGTTGGACAGTGTTCTCAAAGCTACCAGCATGAGTTTGACCAAACTGTGGGAGGCAGTGGAAGACGGGAGTGCCTGGCGTGCTCTGGTCCATGGGGTCACGAAGAGTCGGACATGGCTAAACGACAAAACAACAACAAGAAGAAGGATGGCGTGCCAGGACAAATGTAAGCCTTGTACGCCTCAGAACGCCAGCAACCCAGCTCCTTGATGCGGGCAGAGTCTGGTCTGCCACTAAAGTGGCAGCCCCAATATGAAAAGAGTGCCCAAAGTATTTCAGGGGGTCACCGCCACAGGCCACTGTAACTTTACGCAAGACTGCTTGAGGAAAGGGCCCTTGCGCTTGGGACGTACCCTGAGGAACCGGTGCATGTCAGGACACAGGCATGGGCCCTCCTGTTCTGCCGGGGCCAGTGTTAAGGTGCCCCCTTTCCTCAATTGGTCAGTTTTTGAAGACCGGATCCTGACCTTCAGAGTAGCCCCAGAGAACTTAATGTCAGTCTGCGAGGCCTGAGTGAGGGGAAGATGAGCCACACATTCCCCAATGCGCAGGGCACCGAAGGAGGCTAGGGAGACTGCTGCACGGAACAGACATATTTCATAATTTGACCAGCAGACCCCCAGTAATTTTCCCCAAATTAATCTAAAAGACAACATGGTCAGTAAAAAATAATAATAAAGCCTGTCTGTATCTGTTTCCAAAGGGGCATTAGTCTGTTGCAGCAAAAACAACGAAAGTCACTTCTAGACAGCCTGTTTACTGTGCCTTAAGTCCTGATTTCTTTGCACAACGTTTGCATGGAATTTAAAAAATGTCTGTCATTTATTGACAACGCATTCCAACTTGCCTCCCAGGAAGTTAATGCCTCACCTTTCATTTTCCTGTCAAGTTCCTAACCACAAAAAGAGTCAATATTTTTTGGGGGTGTGTGTGTTTGTTGCGCAAGAGCACCAAATCCACTTTAACTGCACAACCTGAATTTGCTAGTTTCTGCTTGAAAAACAGCGGGAGTCTTGTGGCACCTTAAAGACTAAGGCTGTGTACACGCTATTCCTTTAAAGCACATTTGAACCACATTCTTTCCCTCAAAGATTTCTGGGCGCTGTAGTTTGTTAAGAATTTCCGGGAATTGTAATTCTGTTGAGGGGTAATCGACAATGCCCAGAATTTTTTGGGCAGCGCAACAGGGGAGCAGAATGTTTTATTAAAGGTATTGTAACAGATTTGTAAAAGGATTCTTGGTCGCTTCCTCTAGTGTGCATTTTACATTTGGCTTCAGGTTAAGGGCAGAGGCAACCATGCTAAATTGGCAATAGTCAGCAGCTCAGGACATTTTTTACCTCCCCGCCCCACCACCCTCAGTTTTGATTAGGATAATGTTATCAAAACTGCATTCTGGGTGAAGTTGGGTTCCCTGGCTGGAAGCATAGCATTAGTTTGTCAACTGGGAAATAGATCTCGCTGGAAGACAACGGACGTTCCAACGCAATATGCGTTGGGTGTTTCCCTGAAGTCACGGTCTTTCCCTCTGGTAACATTCAGAAGACCCAAGAGGCTTGACAAACCAAGCCCTCTTCCAAACCAAGAACGTGCACTGGAACTCATCCCATGAAGCTTAGCAGCAACCAGGAAGTTCCACAGAGAGACACTCAGAGTTTCTTTGGCAAGCACTTAGATGTGGAAATGGTTCCCTGAAGGCAGAAAGAAAGTTGTTATACCACACACTATATCATTATCCAGACTCTTTCTTACAAACCTAAGGGATGAGCGAAGAGTTGAGAGTCTGTTTTCAGTTCTGGCACTGGAAGGCCTAAACCGTGGCTTGCGGACTATAAGCTTCCTTCAGGTGGTCCACAGCAGATCCACATTGCTTTTTAATTGCTGCTTTTGTTGTCATTATTATTTATTAAATTTGTATTATTTCTTCCATTGCTTTTATTTCCTGCCTTGCATTTTTCTTGGTTTTCCAAAATTTTAACAAATCCATAACAGATTAAGCAAATTTTATACCACTTAAAAAAAGAAAAAGATTTCCCACTCCCTTCTTGGATAATTAATTATCCCTTATTGCTGATTTTATGTCATAGTTATCTTTAATTTGCTTTTCTTTTTTCTTTTATCCGTATCCATCAGCTATTCCTTTGGTAATTCCTGCTCGTATATTAGTTAACATTTCCAGTATCGTCAAGTGAAGATATTCTGGCATTGCATTTTATTGCATTGCTACTTTAATTTTGTGAAAAGCATATGAAATTAAATACAGTGCAAGAAAGAAAAGCAGCAAAATAAAAAGAACACAATTACTAACCGTACAGCATCTAGCACCATGCATTAGAATGTTAGAATTCCTTCTCCATGATTGCAGTCATGGGATTTTTGTCTATCACATGACGGTGTATGTTTTGACTCCACAGAGTGGGAAGTGACAGAGACAGGATGTTTGTGTTACTGTGTTCCGTGAAGTGGGACTATTGTCCTTTGTTCTTTTTCTTTTTGCTGTCTGATGCTAGAGAGAGAGGGAGCCATGTTGCAGTGCTCCGTGTGTGTTTATATGTAAATAAAGTAGATTAGCCAAAATGCTGAGTTGCTGAGGTCTGTTAAGCAACTGCAAGACTCTGCGGATCCCTAAGTGTGCCGATGTCTGTTGGCATCGGTCGCTGTGATGTTTGGGCTGAAGAAAGCTTTTGAAGCTCACGAACGAACGACGAGGAGGGAGAGAACATGCCAGTTGGGCATGTGTCTCTACCAGGGTCCTACTCGAGTGTAGGAAGAGCTCCTGACATAGAATTGCTACAAGAGGCAGAAAAATCATTAAGTGGTCCACCAAGACTCTTGGTCTAGTCCATGGGTAGGCAAACGAAGGCCCAGGGCCCGGATCTGGCCCAATCACCTTCTGAATCCAGCCCGCAGATGGTCTGGGAATCAGCGTGTTTTTACATGAGTAGAATATGTGCTTTTATTTAAACTGCATCTCTGGGTTGTGGGGCATAGGAATTCGTTCATATTTTTTCCCCAAAATATAGTCCGGCCCCCCACAAGGTCTGAGGGACAGTGGACTGGCCCCCTGCTGAAAAAGTTTGCTGACCCCTGGTCTAGTCAATGGCGCAGGGTCACTGCCCCCCCCCCCAGATGTTGGGAAGTCAGGCAGTGAGAAAAACAAGGAAAAGAAGGGACAAATGGCTTCGATAGAAGCTGGGCCTCATAACTTAAGGGCCCCCTCCAGACTGGTGATTTTTTGAAGATGTAATCATCAACATGTCATTGACGCAGTACAGTATTGGCTGTGGATTAATATTGGGCCATCCACGCATCTTTCTTCTTTATTAGATATCCTGTGATGCTTCCCCGTTGTTTCTGTCTGGAGGGGGGAGCTCTTCCTCCATAGGAAGTGGTAGGAAAGCAGCAACCACCCCCGAACACTTGGGATATAAAATGTTAGAGGATTTCAGGACGAAGTCCCAGGACATGGACCTTTGGGAAGCAAAGCAGTACAGCCACCCTGAAACTTTTGCAAGGCATCATCAGTACTGAAAGCGAGGTTGCATACAACCATAGCTGTCAACCGTCCCTTATTTGGCGGGAAAGTCCCTTATCCCAGCGCCGTGTCCCGCTGCTGTCCCTTATTGATGATGAATTTCCTGGGTTTCAAAGGAAGCAGCTCCTCTCTCTCCCTCCCTGCCGGCCAGGGAGGAGGGAGGCTCCAACTGTGTTGCTTGGCTGCGTTGCTCACCCAATAAGGAGTCTAAGAACGACTGGGGGGGTGGAGCTTGCATGCCTTGTGCCGATCAAATCGGCCGCGTTGCCTGGGGACTCGCCTTTGCTCAGCGCTTCCCAGCGGAGAGGTGACGGTGGTTTTCCTTGCTGCATCCCCTTTGCCAGGTTGCTGCGCTGTGGGAACCACCGCTTGAGGCTTCGTTTGGCTGCTGGCTGGGCTTTCTGCCTTTGGCTTGGAGGGGCTCAGAAATTGAACCTCCCTGTGCTCTGAAAATCCCTTATTTTGGCTGCTAATCCCTTATTTTTGAGGTTGCTGGTCCCTTATAGCATCAATAGCATCATGAGCCCTAATCACCATAAATGCATTTAAAAAAAAAAAAAAAAAGACGACGCCTGCAGGAGCCTTTAGCCTGGTCTCATAACATCAAATTAGGGAGCAGAATTTCAAGATCAAAGGCTGTGACTCTCAGCAGTTTTGTGACTCTTACATGTGACTCCCAGCAGATTTGCATCCAACACTGCAAGATCTGATGCTTGTTGCAGCCTGAGCCTGTCCTGTAATCTAACAAAATAAATTAAGTTTCTTCTCTCCTTCCTAGGGCTGCCTGGGAAAAATCCAGCAAGGACTTCACCATTATCATGAACTTCTGGTGCGCGTTTTCCCCCCGACGTCAAACACTGAGCTCAAAAACACGTTGTATAAACTATTGCAACTGGTTTCAAAGGTGGGTACATGTTTTATAAGGGTTGAATGGGTTTGGCCACAGGGAGACCTCAGGATCATGCATGAAGGTCGGAGGCAAATTGAAAGAGTCAATGTAGCAAACAGTGCAAAGGCACGCGGGCATGAGATGGATTTTTGTTTTTAAAGCAACCATGCTAACATCACTGCTGTACTGCACAATCCTAGAAGACCAGTGAGCTAATCAGTTGGTGAAGGAAGTGGAAAGGGAGATAATATAGAAGGATGCAGGAGTTGTGAGGAAGGCACACCTGAGTCTAGCTACGCTAGGACAGCGCAACCAAAGGTGCAGTCTTGTTCTGCTTTGCAAGAATCCCCAAGTCTCAAATGCATTTGCAAATGCATTGTTACGTCTGCATTCCCTCTACATTGGAGGCTCTGCACAGACCGGCTGCATATGGTTGTATATGCTGTTGTATCATAATAATAATAGTAGTAGTAATAATAACAACAACAATAATAATAATAATACAGTGGTACCTTGGGTTACATACGCTTCAGGTTACAGACTCCGCTAACCCAGAAATATTACCTTGGGTTAAGAACTTTGCTTTGCTGGGGGTTGGACTAGATGACCCTTGGGGTCCCTTCCCACACTACGATTCTTTGAAATTTTTTACCAAGCCCTTCGTCCCAGGGCAAGTTACAACAATTTAAAAGAGAGTTTTAAAACTTTTTAACAGTTAAAAAAACAACCATAATCACAAAAATATAAGTCACCCACAGATGCCCGCACACTGTCTCTATTTTGCAGGAGGGAACTCAAGCATGGGACCAGAGATTTAGATTGGTGCAATTTAACTGCATTGAAGTGTTCCAAGTAAGGCAATAAATCCCTGGCTTCCGGCTGCTCGCTTCCTCTGTGCTAGGGGGTGGCTGGATCTCAATGGACATACGTAACTTAAAACCAAGGAGTCCCACTGAACGGCAGTCTTCCTTTAGGGGAGCTGGAAAGATGGCATAGCGCCCTCAAGTGGCTGCAGAGACAGAAACCAGATGAGTAGACAACCTACAGCTGGCAGTGAAAGGGAAGGAACACAGAGTTCATCCTTACCTTTGCATCGCCTTTCTAGGCACAGGCCCGGGTTTTCCAGGTCCGTCTCTGAGCACTGAGCACTTATTTTGGTCCCAGAGCTTTCCCCAGGTAAACCCACATTCTACCGCAGAATTGGACCAAACAGCAATCAGGTTTACTGCAGGTTGCCATTTGCTCCGATTGAGCTATAAAGCGTAAGTTCTCCCAAGGAAAGCACTTGGGACCAGCAAAATCTCCAAATTCCACTTGCCGTGATTCACTTTTGCAGTGTTGTGCAGCTGACAGACCAGTCTGGCCACAATAAGGAAATTTTGCCCGTGGTATGACTATTTTCCACCTACCCACCTCAAGTCTTTGGCACCCTAGCTGCATAATATAGCAATTCTAAAATAAAGACACGCTTTTACTCTCGCAATATTGAATATACCGCCTTCGGCTGTACTTGAGGGACGAGTTTAACAAATTCCACACAAAAAACGACTATGTCCCTGTGGAGATGGCAGTACCAAATCAGTGGTGTATGTCTTCTGACTTGCACTTTTTATAAAGACTTGAGGAATGAGGTTATCACCCCTCTTTTATTGTCCATTCTGGGTCACCCAGCCATTGCCGCAGTGTCCTTTCTCTTGGCAGATCAAGATGAGCAGGTGACAGCAAAGGTTGCAAGGTTTTTAGCCGGGGCAATTAGAATAAGATCCACTATTTGACTATTGATCCCAACCCCCCCAACATGTATTTTATATAACTGATTTTTTTATCTTCATTCTTTGCATATCGTATTGTGTGTTTTATTGCTATGGCTGGTGGCTGATGCAAATAAAGATTCAAAGATACGGAGTGTTATGCAGCTGAACTGAAACTCGCTATGCAAATGCTCTCTGGGTTATATACTTCCTTCACATACATGCCAAGATGTACTGCATCACCTACAAATTATAAAGTGTGCAATATCCCACCCAACAAATTGCATCCTTGCTGAATTGTCAGCTGTCAAAAAATGATCTGGCAAAACAGCAGTCCTGCAATAGCGATCATGAAATAACCAGGGTTGGTTTGCTTTCTCAGTAACACTGGTCACGTGTCTTTCTAAGCTTATATATTGTGGGATAAGGGCAGAGGCATTGTTACAGAACTAGCCACCTGGGCTGGAAGCGTATTTAACCCTTTGGGAGGATAAGGCTACTGACCCAGATGACTAGGTACCACTTCCTGTCAAAGACAGTGTGCTTCTATATACAGTACTAGCTTCTGAAGATCACAGGAGGGGGGAAAGCGTTTTTGCACCTACAGGCTTCCCAGGACCACTTGGCAGGCCATTGTGAGAACAGGATTGTTGTTGTTGTTTAGTCGTGTCCGACTCTTCGTGACCCCATGGACCAGAGCACGCCAGGCATTCCTGTCTTCCACTGCCTCCTGCAGTTTGGTCAAACACGTGTTGGTAGCTTCGAGAACACTGTCCAACCATCTCGTCCTCTGTCGTCCCCTTCTCCTTGTGCCCTCCATCTTTCCCAACATCAGGGTCTTTTCCAGGGAGTCTTCTCTTCTCATGAGGTGGCCAAAGTATTGGAGCCTCAGCTTCACGATCTGTCCTTCCAGTGAGCACTCAGGGCTGATTTCCTTCAGAATGGAGAGGTTTGATCTGCTTGCAGTCCATGGGACTCTCAAGAGTCTCGTCCAGCACCATAATTCAAAAGCATCAATTCTTCGGAGATCAGCCTTCTTTATGGTCCAGCTCTCATTTCCATACATGTATGCAAGTGAGAGAACAGGATTTGGGCGCAGCAATATATTGTCCCAAACCGGTTTGTTTTTGTTTTTTTTGCTTTTGAGTGCTTTATTGATTGAAAACTTTATAACGGAAGTATACAATAGATATTATAGGCAAAATGAAAATTATTAACAATTATTCATTCTTTAACTAATGCTTGCTTTGTACATCCACTTGAGATTAAATTTGTCAAGTGCTCCGATCTTCCCTTTGCATTCCCGATTTAAATTCCTTAAACATGCGCTTAAGCTTTACTTTCTCCATATTATTTGACTTACTATAAATTTGGTTTTGTACCATTACCCTATTTACACACCGAAGCTCAATCCATCTGAAATCCGTATCGTGATATCGGTTTCACCATTTTTGACCTGACAATAGAACACGAATCATGATGTACGCAAGCTATGCGAAGATCACGATGCAAGAAAAACCCATGAAGCCAGCCAGTGCCTCTACCTAGTCCCATCCTTATTTAAGATATCGTGATATATCGGTATATTGCGATGTTTAGCAGGCGATATATCGTGTTGATGACTACCAGTTTATCGCCCAGCCCTAAACAGGATGCTGGCCTATGTTTTCCCTTGATTCAACAGCAGGGCTCTTTCCTGCGTTCTTAACCCCGATACTTTTGTCTCCTACAGGTTGGAGGAAATATGGAAAGCAGCAGCCCAGACCTCCCACCCATTTCGGCAGAATGGCAGAAGCAAGCCTTGCAGGACCCCATCCTGCTTCGCCTGCAGTCCTTCGCCGTCGTGGTGGCAAGAGTCATTTCCCATTGCGCAGCCTTAGCCAGGAATGCAAACTAAGATCAGAGGAGGGAAGCCCAACGCAAAAGGGTGGATTTGTGCGTCCAAGTCGTACGCTTTTCATTGTATTTAATAGACGTACTTAATTTATTGATAGCACACGTGCTGTCGTGCTTTTATTTAACATTTTTATTTAATGTATTAATGTATTTATTTATTTATTTAAACGCCGGCCCCGATCCCTTGCTAGTAAGAAACCCAGTGATAAGACGAAGGGACCAAGATTTGTTTAGGGACGTTTTTAATGACTGATGTTTTAATGTATTTTTATTCTTTTGTCGGAAGCTGCCCAGAGTGGCTGGGAAACCCCAGCCAGGTGGGCGGGTAGAAATATGTTGTTGCTATTGTTGTTTTATTATTATTAATTTATTATTATTATTATTATTATTATTATTATTATTATTATTATTATTTTAATGTGGGGAGGATCCATGTGCCAACTTTTAACATGTTTTTTTAAAAGGGGAGGGGTTTGTTGAATAACTTCCACAATTTCACGTTTTTTATTATTTGTTTGTTTGCATGCTGTTTTATTCATTCCATTTTGAGGGATGATTTGTTTGGGGCGGGTATATGAATGTTGCACATATTTTGTATGACTTACTCCATTAAAAGCTATTTTTAAAAATTAGTCCTCCGTGTGCAAATGGCTCGGCATTCCATTTGCAGAAAAGAGGGAAGAGAAGGTTACAGGGAGAGAGATAAAGGTGAGCCATCAAGCCTAGCCAAGGTGCCACTGGAGTAACATCCTTGTTTCTTTCTGTTCTTCTATTTCTCCTGGGGTATGTTCCCGCCCCTCTTACTGGCGGTGCCTCTGGCCCTCCCTGAATTTCATTGTCGGCCGATAATACGCCCCAAAATCCAGAGAACAACTGTAGCTGTGTGGCAGGATTTTCTCTTTTATTCCCTCGCCCCCTTTCATTTTTAAATAGCAAAATACCACTATTTCATTGTTGTTTTTAAAGGGGCAGGGATTACACGATGTGACAAAACCAGTACAGTGGTACCTTGGGTTACATACGCTTCAGGTTTCAGACTCCGCTAATTCAGAAATAGTGCTTCAGGTTAAGAACTTTGCTTTAGGATGAGAACAGAAATCGTGCTCTGGCAACGCGGAAGCAGCGGGAGGCCCCATTAGCTAAAGTGGTGCTTCAGGTTAAGAACAGTTTCAGGTTAAGTACGGACCTCCGGAACGAATTACGTACTTAACCTGAGGTACCACTGTAATTAAAGCCACCTTTCCCTACCCGGTCAGAAGTGGGGAAAACGTGAGGAGCAATTAAGGACACCTCCAGACTGTTTTGGGAGAGCTCAAGGGCATTATGGGGAACGTAGGCTTGCACAAGTAAAAAAGGATTAAAAGGCCTCATGTATGAGCACAACAAATCCATTTAAAAAGCCCAAAAAAACCCAACAACGAAGGGGTATTCTACAGTTAGGAAAGTGGCGAGGAAATGCTCTGAAAATGTGTGGGATGAGCAAATGATCAATGGGAAGCCATGCACACAACCTACCGTTAGGGCTGGGCAATACAGTCATATCTTGGATCCTGAACGCCCTGGAACTCGGACGTTTTGGCTCCCAAACGCCGCAAACCCAGAAGTGATTGTTCCAGTTTGCAAACGTTCTTTTGGAAGCCGAACGTCTGACAGGGCTTCCGCAGCTTCTGATTGGTTGCAGGAGCTTCCTGCAGCCAATCAAAAGCCGCAATTTGGTTTTCGAATGTTTTGGAAGTCAAACAGACCTCCGAAACGGATTCAGTTCAACTTCCAAAGTCGATATATTGCCCAAGACCGTTTTGAAGTCCATATCATGATAACAGTTCCACAGTTTTTGACCTGGCAACGTATCACAAATCATGATCTGTGTGTGTGTGTTTATGTGTGCACGATGCAAAAATCACAATGTGGCGAAAACCGTGGAGCCAGCAAAAGTGGATTTTATTACAAAAACAAACACACACAAAACCCCCAACCCTGCCCTAGATCAGGTCTGGAAAAAGGTGTGGGAGGATAAGGAAGGAACCTATGGGCCTCTGCGATTTGGAAATGACATTAGCAGAACAGTCTCTGAAAAAAATACAAATTGGAAAAGACGACTGAAGAGAAGGAACAAAATTCCAGAGAAAAGAGAAACCTCTGTCCATGTTTGCAGGTACCAATATGCAGTTTGATTTGCACCCTCTACTTCTCCAAATGATGGGAAGTTCTGGAGAAGCTGGACTGGACAGGACATCATAAGGCATCATAAGGACAGGACCATAGCTGTCAACTGACAAGATTTGAAAATAAGGGACCAGCAGCCAAAATAAGGGATTTTAGTCAACCAGTTAAAAGGGACCAGATAATTTGGGAGAGCAGTGCCGGTTTTTAGCCCTTCGTTTCCAGAGGTTGCTGCTCAAGACACCAGCTGATGAAACACTGCAATTAAATAACTACAAGCAGCAACCACTTTTCGCGCAAAACGAAGTCCAAGCTACGAAGATGCTGCTGCAGTTCTGTATCTTTTCTCTCATGCTCCATCTGCAGCTCTCAGTTCGATCAGGTGGGGTGGGAGGAAGGGGGGGGAAATAGCGCCCGAAGTAAACCCGCAGATCAGATCATCTATGCTAGTCTACCACTACAAATCTATGGGAGAAGCGCTTGCGGTCCTTCCTCCGCTTTCCCCCTCCATGGTTAGCCCTTGCAACACCTGCCCGCGCCTCTGCCTCCTCCTCCTCTCTCTGAACTGCTTTCTCTATGGTTGCCTTCGCTCTCCTCTCAAGGCTCCTCAGCAATTCATAGGGCGCGCTAGGCTGCCCATCTAATTCGGGTCCTTTGGCGGCTCAGCCGCAGTACGGCCTAGCGGGAGCGGCGGCGGCAGCAGCAGGCAGAGGGGAGGCCCCAGGCAGAGACGGCTCAGTTCGGCGGCCGCGAGGAGGATGGTGGCGGAAGGGCCTGAGGCTCCCACCGGTCCCGGCGGGGAGGGGCTCCCGGGGGCCGAGGCTGGTGAGAGGAGGCCGGGGGAGAGGGGCCGGGCAGCCAAGCAACACACTTGGAGCCTCCCTCCTCCCTGGCCGGCAGGAAGGGAGGGAGAGGAGCTGCTTCCTTTGAAACCCGGGAAATTTAAGGGACACCCATCAATAAGGGACAGCAGCAGGACATGGCGCTGGGATAAGGGACTGTCCCTCCAAATAAGGGACGCTTGACAGCTATAGACAGGACATGCTTATTTACAAATATACAGGTTGAGCTGGCAGCCGCACACGGGAAGGGCAAGCATGGTAGCCCCCAAATACCTAAAACCCAAACTAGCAGAACTCTGATTGCCTACGCACCCATTTTCAGGCATTCCCAGTCTCCAGCCTCTCTCTCTATCTGAACACTCAAGAGCAACTTCAAAGGTGGTTCAGCATCCTCTTTGAATTGATTAATAAGAAAGCCATGCTCCATGGCGGGGGCACAAGGAAGACAGTAGGCAGTCAGAAGGGAGCAGAGCCACAGTTTTAGGCCTCCATCTTGCCAGAAATCATCACCTATTGAAAATCGCTTTCATCGACATTCAGCTCTGGGATCTCATCAGCCGTCACGTTCAGCTCTGGGATCTCATGAGGCATCACATTCAGTTCTGGGATCTCATCAGGCGCCTCAAACAGACGAATAGGTGGTGGTAGCAACTGCTGATCATCACCTGGCAGTGGAAGGAAAGGATCTGGTGTGGAGGAAACAGGAGAGAAGGAGAGAATCATCTGGGAACTGAAGGAGGAAATACAGTGGTGCCTCGCAAGACGAAATTAATCCGTTCCGCGAGTATCTTCGTCTAGCGGTTTTTTCGTCTTGCGAAGCAACCCTATTAGCGGCTTATCGGATTAGTGCTATTAGCGGTTTAGCGGCTATTAAAGGCTTAGCGGATTAGCTGCTAAAAGGCTATTAAAGGCTTAGCGGCTTAGAAAAAGGGGGGGGAAAGCGGAAAAAAAATCTCAAGACTCACAAGACATTTTCGTCTTGCGAAGCAAGCCCATAGGGAAATTCGTCCTGCGAAGCGCATTGAAAACGGAAAACCCTTTCGTCTAGCGGGTCTTCCGTCTTGCGAGGCATTCATCTTGCGGGGCACCACTGTACTGTAGAGATCTGGTGTGCTGCGACCCAGAATAGAAACCCATTGCAAATGTAACCCCAGGAGACTACCCTCTGTTGCAAGGGCTTCACCCCTCAAGAGGGCCACAGATTCACCACTCACCTTGCCTGTCGGACAGAAGGCATTGCACGCCGCGCTCCAAGCCCGCCAAATCATTGTTCAAGTGCTCATCATCTGCAAGGGCCAAACCATTCAGCCAGGGAGCTTGAACGCAGTGCTCCAATCCCGCCAGATCGTGGTTCAAGTGCTCATCGTCTGCAAGGGCCAAACCATTCAGCCTGGGAACTTGAACGCAGTGCTCCAATCCCGCCAGATCGTGGTTCAAGTGCTCATCGTCTGCAAGGGCCAAACCATTCAGCCTGGGAACTTGAACGCAGTGCTCCAATCCCGCCAGATCGTGGTTCAAGTGCTCATCGTCTGCAAGGGCCAAATCATTCGGCCTGGGAACCTGGGCCTCTTCTGGCTGCCTGGATAAATAAGAACATATATATATATATATATATATATATATATATATATATATCACACACACACATGCATGCCGTATTTTTCTGTGTATAAGATGCCACATGTATAAGACGACACTATTTTTTTAAAACCCGAAATTAAGTTGTTTAGCTTTTTTGGGGGGTGGGGAGGTCACTTCTCCCAATCACTCACCTGTCTGCCCACCACAGCTGATCGCTTGCCACAGCCACTGCCAATTGCACACCTCACTGCAGCCGACAATTTTCTGCTCACTCGCCACCTCCAACACCCCACCCGCCCACTTGCTGCAGCCAGCAATCGCCTGCCAAATTGCCACAGCCAATTGCCAGCAGGTCTTGCTGCAGCCATCAACCACCCGCCCAATCGCAACTGCCAATCTCCTGCTTGCTTCTGCCATTAATTGCACATCCCCCCTCCGCATTCACTATCCATGTATAAGACGACACCCAATTTTTGCCTTTTTTTTTTAGTCAAAAGCATCGTCTTATACACAGAAAAATATGGGTGGGTTGCTTAAATTTTATCCTTCCGGATCCAACCCCTCCTGTGCCCTGCCGTCCCTCTGCAGCCTCATTGCTCCGTTTAGGGAGCGCGTGGACCTTTGCTAGCTGAGGCTGCTGCAGCTGTTGCTAGCTAGGCACCGCTTTTAAAAGCACCCGCTGGCTCTGAATCGCCTGCCTCCTCCCGGCTCGCTGTAAAGCAAACAAAGGGAGAGCCGCGCAAAGCGGGACAGAAGCCCTGTAAGCGGCTCCCGCTTTGCTTGACTGACGGGAGCCATGGCTGTGGTCCAGTGCATTCGCTCAGACGCACAGGCAATTTCCCTTTCTTTTTAGAAGGAAAAAAGTGTGTCTTACGGAGCAAAAAATACGGTAAGCTCTCGAAGAGGCTGACATGGGATGAGATGGCACAACTTACTGAGACGAGACTCTGATCAGGCGGCGGTTCAAGTAGCGTCTCTCTTCTGTCAGGTCCGCTGGGAAGGAGAGAAAAAAGGGTGTGTAAGGGAGCTAGAAGCAGGATTGGACCCCTCACCAACCAAAGCAAGGAAGACAGCACTGAGCTCAGCACCCATGAGTTCTGCCTCAGTGGAGTCTGCATTCAGAGAGTGCCTGAAGTTTGTACAAATGTTACTCGAATTCTATGCTTGAGAAGAGATCTGGAAATCTGTCTTGTTGTTATGCAAACGCACACCTTTTTATATATAAAAAAGGAATAATTTACTTTGAAGTTTTTGAGTTGCAGAGTTAGTAACTATGATTTATTTATTTTTTTAAAAAGCAAATATCATCTGTGTAGAGGAAAGGGGAAATCTGGATTATCTAGAGGGGGAAACAGGTTGGCCAACAATGTTGTGTGGATGCTGTGTTAAGAGTGAAGGCAGACACAATGTTTTTAGAGCTGTGGAAGCATTCTGGAAGTGTTTTCAGGGTGACACTTTTACTGTAGAACCTATGGAGGTCTATGAAGCCCCAGCACCAGATTAATGTCCAAGTGTACCGTATTTTTCCCTCTATAAGACGCACCAGACCACAAGACGCACCTAATTTTTGGAGGAGGAAAACAAGAAAAAAAAATATTCTGAATCTCAGAAACCAGAACAGCAAGAGGGATCACTGCGCAGTGAAAGCAGCAATCCCTCTTGCTGTTCTGGCTTCTGGGATACCTGCGCAGCCTGCATTCGCTCCATAAGATGCACACACATTTCCCCTTACTTTTTAGGAGGGAAAAAGTGAGTCTTATGGAGCAAAAAATACGGTATTTTAATTCTCAAGAGACAAGCTCAGGGGCAGGCGGTTTGCAAGTGTGAAGCAGAAGCCAGCAGCACTGATTGGCCTTCCCCTGATGATGTGACCAATGAACCTTGCTCCCTTCACCCCAACCCATGGAGAAGTCTTTCTTAACAGCCAATACAATGGCAAATAAGTAGGTAAGCCTTCATGTAAAACATTCCTTTATTAATTTCCCCAAAATAAAAGGAGAGCCTACTTGAAGTATGGGGGCAAGACTAACAGCTGAGTTAACCTTCAACTTGCTGGTGTGCATGTCCAAATTTGGGGCTAAGCCAGGCCCACAGCAGAGCTGAAAAATTTGCTGCACGTTCCGGTTTTGTATAATTATTATCTGTCTTCACCCTTAGACAGTAAACTCCGCAGAGCAGAGGCTCTGGCTTTTTCTTCTTTTTGTTGTAAATTATTTTACTCTGTGAAGTTCTATGACATAGATGGCAGCATATAAAGTTTACCATAGTTATCGTTGGTGCTTTTTTTCTAGAAAAAGAGGTGCCGGAAATCACAATGAACACCTCCCTTATTCTCTAATAATAATAATAATAATAATAATAATAATAATAATAAATTTTATTTATATCCCGCCCTCCCCAGCCGAAGCCGGGCTCAGAGCGGCTAACAACAGTAAAACGATAAAACATTCTAAAATCATTTCATTATAGAATTAATTCCAATCAAATTCATGGCAACCATTGGGCTAGAGTTCTGTGAGGATAACCAAAGGATAACCAAAGGCAATGGCGCTCCCCTGAGATGTGCCAGAACTGACATCTAGTGAGTTCCGGCTGAAAAAAAGCCTGATTATCATCATCATCATGGCAGCCATAAAAGCTGCAGATGTTGTTTCAAAACCTCACCTCACCAGCAATCAAGTTCTCTGCGGCTCAGGACCCCAATCCGTTAAAGACTGCCTCTTCCCACATGAACCTACCTGGACCCTGAGATCATCTTCTGAGGCCCTCCTTCGTGTGCTGCCTCCTCAAGAGGTCCAGAGGACGACAATACAAAAACAGGCCTTCTCTGCAGTGGCTCCCCGTCTGTGGAATGCTCTCCCTGGAGAGGTTCAGCTGGCGCCTTCATTATACACCAGGCAAAAACGTTTCTTTTTAACCAAGCCTTCGGGTTGATCTGATTTACACCCCATGCCCTTTTAAAATGTGGGTTTTTGGGGGAGGTGTGTTATTGGGTTGTTGTTTTAACTTTTATTATGTACCGTATTTTTCACTCTATAAGACGCACTTTTTCCCTCCTAAAAAGTAAGGGGAAATGTGTGTGCGTCTTATGGAGCAAATGCAGGCTGCGCAGCTATCCCAAAAGCCAGAAAAGCTATCCCAAAAGCCAGAACAGCAAGAGGGATCACTGCGCAGCACTCCCTCTTGCTGTTCTGGCTTCTGGGATTCAGAATATTATTTTTTCTTGTTGTCCTCCTCCAAAAACTGGGTGCGTCTTATGCTCTGGTGTGTCTTCTAGAGCGAAAAATACGGTATTTTGTGGTTTTCTATCTTTTCCCTGAGACCCATGGGTATAGGGCAGTATATAAATTCAGTAAATCATAATCATCACCTGAGGAGGCTGAATTCTGCACGGCGAGATTACAGAAATACTGAATACATATAAGCCGGGCCCATAAACGTGAAAATGCAAGACATCCGAATGCCCTGGAATTCAGGGCATAGAAGAGTGTCATGAAAGAGGGAACCCCATGACAATCTGGCAGGCAGGAATACCTTCCCGGCGTTCGCTATAGTAAGGAGAAAAAGCTGAATCCCGGGGCGTGTCAGGATAGAGGTACTTCAGTGGATTCTCAGATTTTTGCTCCATAGCCAGGAAGTGATAGTCATGGATGATGTCTGGCAGCGCCAGGGACTTTAGCTCGACGCAGGTGTAGGGCTCCACTGACTGGAACCTGGGGGAACCTGCAGAGGTTAGAAACACATAGTCAAAGTGTCAGGTGGAGTTCTTTCTGATCTTGTCTGGAGATCAACCCATCCAGATGATGGATAGATAATTTATTACAGTCAAAGACCAGCTCGCATAACACAGTAAAAACAGCGTCCATAAAGTTAAAATAGACAATCAGAGCAGATTGCAGCAACAGCTCATGAGTTAAAATTGAGATATATACATACACCCGTACAACTGAGATTTGGGCTACCATAGAAATTGACCCTGAGGCACCCCAAAGGGCAACTTCAGTATTTCCCTAGTAAGCTATTTTATTCTAGAGAATGATCTGTTCCTACAAATCTGGGCGCAGAATCTGGCTACCAGCCAGGTCGTCAGGTGGAATTAGTTTTGTTCATGCAAGCTTTTTCAAAACTGCATTTTAAATACGTAAATTCTTCTTAGGCTATCTCTGTTGCAAGAATTCCCACCGTCTTATCTTCTAGTGTTTGTTGACGATTATAAAGATTCTATTACTGGGTTTTTGGTTTTGGTTTTAAATAATTGTTTTGTAACAAGAAACCAAGGGAATATTTACTGAATAGCAGCTATATAAAAGTTAAATAAAACAGACAGGCAGGCTTAGAATGAAAATGGTCTGCCTACATCTCACCAGCATAGGGCCCGATTTAGGTTTGATGGGGCCCTTTATACGTCCAGCTGTCCTTTGTCAACAACAAATTGTTGCTTTTTTGTGTTGAATATCTGCTATATGGTAATTTATGGACCTAATAGGTATCCAAAGCCATTTGCACATAACAAAATATGTATTTTATCAAAGTAATTGTTGAACTGAAATACAATTAAGAATAAGTCTATTAATACATCCAGGTTTTTTCTCTTAAATTTTTTTGGGGGCCCCCAAGAGGGTGGGGCCCTAAGCTTTAGCTTGTTGAAAGGTAAAGGGACCCCTGACCGTTAGGTCCAGTCGCGGACGACTCTGGGGTTGCAGCGCTCATCTCGTTTTATTGGCTTAGGGAGCCGGCGTATAGCTTCCGGGTCATGTGGCTAGCATGACTAAGCCGCTTCTGGCGTAACAGAGCATCGCACGGAAAAACCGTTTACCTTCCCGCCGGAGCGGTACCTATTTATCTACTTGTACTTTTTGGTGTGCTTTCGAACTGCTATGTTGGCAGGAGCAGAGACCGAGCAACGGGAGCTCACCCTGTTGCGAGGATTCGAACCGCCAACCTTCTGATCGGCAAGTCCTAGGCTCTGTGGTTTAACCCACAGCGCCACCCGCTTGTTTATCTTATACGTAAATCTGGCACTGCACTAAACACATGAGGAGAGTTCAGAAGGACTGACAAAAATGCGAGGGTGTATCAATACCTCATTTTGGAAAATCCTGGTGCTGGTTCATGCATTCTGTTTATTTATTTGGACCACCTTGTAAGTACTTAAATAATAATAATAATTTGTATTTAAAGGATTTTCACCTTCAAATCTGCAGGAAAGCAAAAGGAAATGGACTTAGTTCTGCCCCCGTGTAGAACTGGGCATGAACTGCAATGGATTTCTCCATCCCTAGTTCTCATACACACTTATCAGGTATAGAGATGGAAAGGCCTGGGGGGGGGGGGGACTCCCTGAAAATGGGGGACTGGTGGCAAATATTCCCACTCCCACACCTGTTTTTGCTGGTTCCAGGGACACAAGAACAGGCCCTATAGCTGATTTTCCTTACCCCAGTGCAATCCAGTTAAAATGATAAAAAATGAAAATAAAAGGCTTCTTTTGGTTTTTGTCATGTCCTTCAGAGACAGCCCAAACTTGCTTGATTTAATTAGCATTTCCCAGCTCTGCATCAATAATCAATACTTCAGATTTGCAATCGTAGCTTGGACTGTATGTTGTTTTTAACCTTGCTTATCTTCTTGTCCGAATGCTTGATTAAGTTATACTAATTAAAGGAAATGGATTTACTGCAAGCCTAAAAACTCATCTTTGAACCATAAAGTTTCTGTGTGCTGACACAAAGGGGCACTAACTCTCCAGCTTAACATGGCAGAGGGAAGTAAGGTAAAAACTCTCTAACTGCTACACAGAAATCATACTTATATTTCCCCCGCTGAGCAAGGCAAAGTTGTCACAGGGACAACTGTTCCCCACATTCCACCCCCATTTTCACAGATTTTTTAAAAGGGATTCACATCTCTAATCAGTGCGTAAGTTAAAAAATACAATGAAGCATTGGAAAAATTGTTTTTTTAAACCCCCCCCCCAAGAAGAATTAAAAAAGAACAGCAGAAAAACACACACACTGTGATGATTAAGAAGAAGAAGAGTTTGGATTTGATATCCCGCCTTTCACTCCCTTTAAGGAGTCTCAAAGCGGCTCACATTCTCCTTTCCCTTCCTCCCCCACAACAAACACTCTGTCAGGTGAGTGGGACTGAGAGACTTCAGAGAAGTGTGACCGGCCCAAGGTCACCCAGCAGCTGCATGTGGAGGAGAGGGGAAGCAAACCCGGTTCACCAGATTACGAGACTACCGCTCTTAACCACTACACCACACTGGCACCACAAGGCAAGGCAAGGGAGAGAATTCCAGGAAATAACCTGTGTTGTCGAAGTCCACCCAGGTAAAGGTGATGCCCCCATTTGCGGTGCTCTCACTGAAGCGCAGCAGGAAGGTGCCTGCCCTCTTCTTCTTCAGCAAACTCCTCTCCCGCTTGCGGCTCACGAACCCCATGATGAGGCTAGGATGCGATGCAAGTGGGAAGAGGAGAAATATCGAGGTCAAACAGCTGCCACCTTTGCGCTGCCTTAACTCCCTCCCGACAACTGTAGCCTCACATCAGATGGGTGGGGTACAAATAATAAAATTACTTTTATGACGATCTCTTCCTGCAGCCCCCTCCCCTGAGTGACAAGGACAAGGAATTTACTCAATTACTGAAAACATGCACTGGCCAGTATGTGACTTGGATGTAGGGCAGGGTAGCTGAGACAGCATCTACAGGTGAAACTCGAAAAATTAGAATATCGTGGAAAAGTTCATTTATTTCAGTAATTCAACTTAAAAGGTGAAACTAATATATGAGATAGACTCATGATATGCAAAGCGAGATACAGTGGTACCTCAGGTTACATACGCTTCAGGTTACAGACTCCGCTAACCCAGAAATAGTACCTCGGGTTAAGAACTCTGCTTCAGGATGAGAACAGAAATCGTGCAGCAGTGGCAGGCCCCATTAGCTAAAGTGGTACCTTGGGTTAAGAACAATTTTAGGTTAAGAACGGACCTCTTGAACGAATTAAGTACTTAACCCGAGGTACCACTGTATGTCAAGCCTTTATTTGTTATAATTGTGATGGTCATGGCATACACCTCAGCAGTGCCACAGGTCGATAGCATCCATGCCATGCCACACTGAGGCAGTAATTGATGCAAAAGGGGCCCAAACCAAGCACTGAGTACATATGCATGCTTCTACTTCTCAGAGGTCCAATACTGCTCTATTTGCAATCCTTGTTTTGCTGATTTCATTTAATATTCTAATTTTCTGAGATTGTAAATTTGGGCTTTTCATCAGCTGTACGCCATGACCATCACAATTATAACAAATAAAGGCTTGACACATCTCACTTTGCATGTCATGAGTCTATCTCATATATTAGTTTCACCTTTTAAGTTGAATTACTGAAATAAATTAACTTTCCCACAATATTCTAATTTTTCAAATTTCACCTGTAGTTTTGAATACAGTGGTACCTCAGGTTAAGTACTTAATTCGTTCTGGAGGTCCGTTCTTAACCTGAAACTGTTCTTAACCTGAAGCACCACTTTAGCTAATGGGGCCTCCTGCAGTTGCCGCGCCGCCGGAGCACGATTTCTGTTCTCATCCTGGAGCAAAATTCTTAACCCGAGGTACTATTTTGGGGTTAGCGGAGTCTGTAACCTGAAGCGTATGTAAGCCAAGGTACCACTGTATCACAGTTGGGAGTTTGGCACAATCTGTTTGCCGCAGAGCTGAGCATCAAAGGCTACCTGGGGGTCAATTCCCCGTGGAGTGAAGTGCTCGCTTGGTAATGTATATACTACTTGCTGCTTGGAATAAAATCTGTAACCTTCTCACCCACTTGCGTTTGTGTTGCTTCTGAATCCAATTTGAAAAGAACCATCTTGCATTGGGCAAGACAATGTCTTCCAACTCTACAACTATCATTCTATGAAAGGGGGTTTGGCGTATTTGCAAAGAACTCAGGTGGCTTTTGCAACGAGTGGTGGAGACGGGCAAAACGCCCCCTAGCAAACAGCGCCCTCCTGAGGCCGTTGCCGTTAAAGGCTTTGTGTGACTCCTCGAGTTCTGCTATTGGAGAAGGAAGAAGCCAAATTCCCCCCTCTTCTTCCCCACCCCTCTCCTTACTTGTTGTTCCAGAGTTGCAGGAGGTGCTCCTTAATCAGGAGCAAGATGCCATCAATCCAGGTCCAGAAGGAGAAAGCGTACGAAGTAGGCTGTGGGGGAAAGGGGAGAGGAAATAAGAAGAGGGAAAGGCGCTTCGGTGAGCAGGAGGAGGAGGCAGGGGCGGCGCTTACCCTGGCAAACTGTGCCCAGGTGACTGTGCTCTGCGATGTTGCATTTGGTCCTTCGGTGGAAAGAAAAGGCAAGAAGTGAGCTGCATAATTGTTCTGACAGAAATGGGGGGTGAGGCCTGTTAGTTGACCCTTCTTTGGCACCCCCCCTTACTTCCACTTTATGGACTTAAGGGAACAGAAGATACCGTATTTTTCGCTCCATAGGGCGCACCTGACCATAGGACGCACCTAGTTTTCAGAGGGGGAAATCAAGGGGAAAAATGTAATCCCCCCCGCCCAGCTCTGGGAGAAGTGGACAGAAGCGCGCAGCCTGTACTCTTCTCCCAGACCTTCTCCCTGCTTTTGCGGGAGGTGGGGGAATTCCCCCACCTCCCGCAGAAGTCCGCAGAAGCCACGCGCTCTTTAAAAGGTGCGTGGCTCCTGTGGGCTATTCTACGAGGTGGGAGAAGGGGCTGATGCGGCCAGTCAGTCCCTTCTCCCTCCTGGGGAAAAGCCCACAAGAGACGCACGGAGCTTGTGTGCGGCTCTTGGGGGCTTTTCCCGCCTGTCTCCCCCCTGCATTCGCTCCATAAGACGCACACACATTTTCCCTTGCTTTATAGGAGGGAAAAAGTGCATCCTATAGAGCGAAAAATACGGTAACACTCTGTTCATTCTATCTTGAGCAGCTACCACCAACCCTGGCTCTACATTCATGGTCACTGATGAAAAGTGGTACCTTGGTTCTCAAATGCCCTGGTTCCCTAACGCCGAAAACCCAGAATAAAGCGTTCCGGTTTCCCAACATTTTTTGGAAGCCGAACATCCGATGTGGTTGTCAGCTATTGTTTCCGGGGCGCCTGCACCCATCAGAAACTGCGCCTACGTTTTCAAACATTTCGGAAGTCAAACGGACTTCCGGAACGGATCAAGTTTGGCGCTTTTGTTTTTGCCATCTATTTTGCGTTTTTGAGGCTTTTTCGGTTCATTTGTTTTTGTGACCGTGTGGAACCCAGTTCAGCTACTGATTGATTGATTGATTGTGTGACTGCGGAAATGGATAAAAGCTAAATGGTGGGGTTCTGAAAATCCAAAATAAATTGAACCACTGCACTACACTGGCCCCACATTACCAGACTCCCCCATTACCACAGAGTTTCTCTCTCAGCATCTTGAGTTGATCTGCGTTTAGGCCTCGGTCAGTAGCAGCCAAGAATTGGCAGCTCAGGACAGGGGACAGCTGGTCCCAGGTGGCAGCAGGTGGATTGCAGAAAAATAGCTGGTTCTGAGAGAAAGACAGGAGGGGAGAGGGAAAACACACACAGTGAGCCAGGTGAGACCAATTTAGGGAACAGGAGGGACACAGGGCATGAGGTTGGAGGGAAATCCGGGACGATCAAAAGCTTTGGATACAAAACTGGCCGGGACAACGTCGCAAGAGTTACAAAAACCCAACATGGAACCCTGAAGGTGTTGCTACATTCCAAGTCCCAGGCCCGTCGTTCGCCATGGGGCTGAGGCTGCTGGGATCTGGAATCCAACAACATGTGGGAGAGTGCCATGTTGTCTACAGTGGTACCACGGGTTAAGTACTTAATTCGTTCTGGAGGTCCGTTCTTAACCTGAAACTGTTCTTAACCTGAAGCATCACTTTAGCTAATGGGGCCTCCTGCTGCTGCTGCGCCGCCGCTACACGATTTCTGTTCTCATCCTGAAGCAAAGTTCTTAACCCGAGGTGATATTTCTGGGTTAGCAGAGTCTGTAACCTGAAGCGTATGTAACCTGAGGTACCACTGTACACAGAAGCGACTTTCATGTAGGAAGAGCAGGTTGCCTGTGGGGAGAAAAGTCACGGGTCGACACATGTGCAAGACTGCTGCAGGGACATGCCCTGCGCAGTGTCGTGTGCTGTGGAGCACACACAAGGAATGGAGTCCGGAAATAAAAGGCGACCAGCGCCAAAGTTAGTGGTTGTTTCTCCAGGGAGTGTCTCTGGGTATCCTCTGAAGCATGCTCAAGGTGTATGTGGGGGGGCTATTAATCTGCCATCTTCTGAACTGAGGGGTCGCTACAGGCTAAACATGGGCAAGGTATCCACATCTAAGTGACAGCAGTTTCTATACTGGAATTCTGAATCAAATTATTATTTGCTGCTTTATTTATTCTTGTTCTTTATATACCACCCTATATCTGCAGGTGTCAGAGTGGTTCACAGAATAAAACCAGAATATAAAACCACAAAGGACATAATCAAAATAAAAACAACAACCCAATAACAAAATTATTATTTGCTGCTTTATTTATTCTTATTCTTTATATAGCACCCTATACCTGCAGGTGTCAGAGTGGTTCACAGAATAAAACCAGAATATAAAACCACAAAGGACATAATCAAAATAAAAACAACAACCCAATAACACACACACCCCACAAACACCCCACAGGATGTCAATCAAATCAACCAAAGGTAAAGAGGGACGTTTTTGCCTGGTGCCTAAAGGTGTATAATGAAGGCAGCAGCCGGACCTCCCTGGGGAGAGCATTCCATAAGCGGGGAGCCACTGCAGAAAAGGCCCTGTTCTCGTGTTGCCACCTTCTGGAAGCTCACGCTGAGAAGGCACACAGAGAAGGGCCTCAGGTGATATAAGTTTATTATATAGTATTACATTCGAATGGGTTGTTGAATATTACTTTGCTTGACATAAGTCGTTTATTTCAAAGTTATGTTTTTATTATGGTTTTTTTGTATTGGATCAGATTGTTATAAGGTTATGCTCTTTTTTGTGTATTTTGTTGTTTCTTCAGCTTGCGAACCACCTTATGTATAGTAATTTTAAAAGGTGGTATACAAATTAAAAGTGAAATGAAACGAAATGCTTTCTGGCTAGGGTGTCAACCCTACCCCACAGAGAAGGCTTCCAAAAAAGAGAGAAATGTAGTATGTTTCTTACCGTTGGGTTTGGACTGAACGTGAGGTACCATAAGATAGAGGCCCAAGCACTGGACATCTGGTTGGTATTAGAGATGACCACCACCGGCAAAGTGGATGTCTAAGAGGAGAAAGATCACAAATCTTGAAAGAGCAGCAATAAATGCCAATCCCAGACCCTGGGCCAAATTAAAAAGGCCATGGTCCCCATATGACAAATTCCGCTCTCTCCTTGACCAGTATTCACAAACTGAGGCAAAAACACGAGGAAGGCAGTTGACAGATGGGCCTAATGGATCTTCCTTCTTCCCAATCTCCTCTCAGCGCCATCTCGTTCTTCTGCAGTGACAAAAATATTCTCAACGAAGATAAGTTTGATCAAACGAAGATTTGGTGATGTTACGCACAAGAGATAAACAGGGTGCCGGCGTTTGTCACCTGTTTCACCCATGAAGAGTCTTGGGCTTCTTCAGTAAATTCTCTCTCACGGTTTTGATATATTTATAAATATTCACTGGTGGTACAAACCAAAACTTATTAGTGTTTAAATAAAATAAATGCTTAAGTCAAGAAAGAACTTAACATATGAAGTGCAAGTATTGATTTTCGTATTTATATTCTCAGAAATTACATAATGAATGTTTAAAGGTTAATCAGGTTTTGGTTTATATCACCAGTGAATGTCTGTAAACACACCAAAATCTTGAGGGAGAATTTCCTGAAGAAAGAAATTAAATATTGTAGCTTAAGCCAAGAAGGAATGTAACATATGGACTCCAATAGAGACTTTTGTACTTGCCTGTTCAGATATTATTTAGAAATTTTATTTAATCTTCGTTGATATCTAACCCTTGAGCGTAACATCGCCGACACCTCGTTTGATCAAACTTACCTTTGTTGAAATCTACAGGAGCCTGGCTAAAGGAACTTTAAAGACTGAATTTTCCTTTTGGACACAATTTGAATGAGTTTTCTGTTTGTGGCTTCTTGTACCTTGTTCTCTCAATTTTTGGATTATTAATATAAGATTTAGAACGTAGAATGGTTTGTTTGGTAGTGTTTTGTGTGCTGCTTATGTGCTGCTTACTTCATACTGGTTTACTATGAGAATTGGCAGCATAGGTTCATTTCTTCAGTAGGCTAACTTCAAGCAACCTGGCCAGTAAGAGGGTTGCATTCAACCACCACCACAACCTAACTTCATCACTGAGGTCCTCATACCTGAAGCTGACAGGTAAAATCTTGGTAGCAATAGTCCAGGATGAAAGTGATGGTGTGAAGCTCCTCTGTGACAGGCAATAATCCCTATGGGAGGGAGAGAGAATGAGAATTAGCAAAGGCAAGAGGCACACACCTAGTTGAGTCTGTTATTTTATACAGGTTTTTCTAGAACATTAAAGATTTCTTGGGTTGTGAACTTCTGTACGCTAGAGTCCATCCATCAGATGCGGGAAGTGTTAGAACAACGGACTATACACGCTCCCAAGAACCATATTTTTCACTCTGTTAGACGCACCGGACGATAAGACGCACCTAGTTTTTAGGGGAGGAAAACAAGAAATAAGAAAGCAACGCAAAGCATCCTGAGCTAAGAGGGAGCGCTCCTCCATCTTCGCTCAGGAGGCTTTGCAGGGCTATCCCTGTGCACCGATCCCTCTTGCCCTCCTGGCTTCAGCGAAAGCAAGCCTACTGGCTTTCCTCCCAGAAGAGCCGCACGCTCTTTAGAGGGAGCACGGCTCTTGGGGGCTTTTCTGGGAGGTGGGGGAAGGGACAGCGCCGCGCGGCTCTATCCTTTCCCCCACCTTCCGCAAAAGCCAGGGATAGCTGCACGAAGCCTCCGCAGGGGAGCAGGATGAAGGCTCCCCGTGCCCTGCTGAGGCTTCATGCGGCTAAGCCAGAAGCTAGAACAGCTAGAGGGAGCGCTGCGCAGCGATCCCGCTTGCTGTCCTGGCTTATGGGATTGCTGCGCGCAGCCTCTCCCGGGCAAGGGGAGCCTTCATCCCCTGCCCGGGGGGGGGGGGGGCAGCACGGCTAAGGCTCCCCCAAGAGCCGCGCTCCCTTTAAAGAGCACGCGGAGTGTGTATGCGGCTCTTGGGGGCTTTTCCCCGAGGAAGGAGAAAGGCAGCCCTTCTCCCTCCTCAGGGAAAAGCCAAGAGCCGCACACACGCTCCACACGGCTCTTTAAAGGGAGCACTGAGCAGAGCCTCCCACCTGCATTCGCTCCATAAGATGCACACACATTTCCCCTTACTTTTTAGGAGGGGAAAAGTGCACCTTATAGAGCGAAAAATACGGTACTTAGGTGTGTCTGTGCCAAAAAGGACATGAAATACAGTACAATGTCAGTTTATTGTGATGAGGATGCCCCAAGCTTCCAAGCAAACTAACTCTACTGTATGCATTGTTGTATTCCCCGCCCCCAATGCATTTGGCTTTCAGTTTATTATTAAGTTGTTCTGTATTTTACGGATTCCAAAGTCCCTTCAAGACATCTTCCTGCGGAAAGTGATGGATGAATATAGTAAAAGAAATAATGACAGAGCACACTTAACTTGAAAAACACTTTTCTGTCTGTACTACGTCTGACTAAGAGCCTTGGATTTCCAGCAGTCAATGGAAAACCCAGGTTGAGAGATGGCAATATTGTACCTAAGTCTGCGGAGAACTGAGGCCTTCTCTTTAAAATGCCTGTTATCAGATAAAAACCCTCTGATTACACACTAGCATGATTCTGTGCATCAGATATTACCCGCAGGGAAATCGTGATAAATCAAGGACAGCAAGCCTTATGGAGGCACTACTACTACTACTACTACTACTATTATTATTATTATTTCCTTTATGAAACCTTGCGTTTTAGACACACGACAATCCAGTGTTCAACTGGATCGTTCCAGTAGCAGCTAAAATTCTAGTTGCTTAGCGACACTTGTCTCTCTGTTTTTATTCCGGCTTGTTCTCATAACTATTGTATCTTGCTTTTATAATTTTTTTTTAGCCATTTTAAAACTGCTAGTCTATGGCCGTAATAAACTGATTGGATCGGATTGGTGTGCTTACAAAGCCACCCCACTAAGCCTGCTCCTCCTGTAAGCAGCAGGAATAGCACAGCCACATCACGGCTGCATTGAACCAGCCACTCTTGGGAAAGGCAAACCCACCTCACTGAGCCCTTTGCTGCCCTTGCCTTTGCCCAAACCACTTTTCTGCTCCTTCAGCATCTGCAAAGAGAAGAAGAACCACATGTTTACAGGGCTGGAAGCAACCAGACGCCATCACGCTGGGCAGCACCCCCTGGCAGGGGTCAAAGCTGTTCTCATGCCTCTAAGACAGGGGTCAGCAACCTTTTTCAGCTGTGGGCCGGTCCACCGTCCCTCAGAACATGTGGTGGGCCGGACTTTTTTTTGGGGGGGGGGGAATGAACGAATTCCTATGCCCCACAAATAACCCAGAGATGCATTTTAAATAAAAGCACACATTCTACTCATGTAAAAACACCAGACAGGCCCCACAAATAACCCAGAGATGCATTTGAAACAAAAGGACACATTCTAAAAAGGTAAAGGGACCCCTGACCATTAGGTCCAGTCGTGGCCGACTCTGGGGTTGCGGTGCTCATCTCGCTTTTTTGGCCGAGGGAGCCGGCGTATAGCTTCTGGGTCATGTGGCCAGCATGACTAAGCCGCTTCTGGCGAACCAGAGCAGCGCGCGGAAACACCGTTTACCTTCCCGCTGGAGTGGTACCTATTTATCTACTTGCACTTTGACATGCTTTTGAACTGCTAGGTTGGCAGGAGCAGAGACCAAGCAATGGGAGCTCATCCTGTCATGGGGATTCAAACCGCCGACCTTCTGATCAGCAAGTCCTAGGCTCTGTGGTTTAACCCACAGTGCCACCTGCGTCCCCAGACACATTCTACTCATGTAAAAAGACGCTGATTCCCGGACTGTCTGCGGGCCAGATTTAGAAGGCAATTGGGCCGGATCCAGCCCCCAGGCCTTAGGTTGCCTACCCCTGCTCTAATCTTCGTGCAAACGTAGACCACAAAGGACATCGCAAGCTTGGAGGAGTAGGAACAGAGAGCAACTCACTGAGAAATGGGAGACTGGTAATCATTATTAAAGGGGGAGAGGAGGGAAGCTACAGCAAATGAATGTCAAAGGCCCAATTGATGGTAGGGAAAAGTCCTTCCTGCCACGCATTTGATGCTCAGTCATAAACTGCCTGTGAATAAGGCCAGTGGGCATCGTTGTTGGTTTTGTTTTATTTTATTTGGGGGGGTGTGCGTTAAAGAAATGAGGCACCAGGACTAATCTCTCTATAAAAGTGGCTGTGGGTCCCAGCACAAAATGGCTACTATGGGGAGCAAAAATGAAGAGGCAGTGTGCTCCATACATGTACTAAAAAAAATACACAGCAAGGCCCATACATTATGTTCCTCCCCACTCCCTGCCCCAGAAAGACTAGGCTCAAGTCTTCTTCATAAATATTTAGGCCTCCTAGCAGGTCCCAAATGGGGGAATACAGTGCTCTTTCCCAGGCCTCAGGAGCTAGAGTAGGGAAAGTCATTTAAAAAAAAAATTTATTTAAATCTTATTAACATATAAAACACATATATACATTTACATGATACACATACACAACATACTACCTTATTTTCATAACATAAAACATACCTACATTAATACCGACCTATACTGTACATATCAACATATCTACACCCCTACCCCACACGGACACCAACCAAGTGACTTGACTTCCAGCCGTTCTTGTTACGCTACTTTATTTTTCCAACTAGCTTAAACGCATTTCATTATTTCTTTAATCTCTTCTTCTATCCTGACTTTACTCTCCTTTCACTCTTATCATTTTCTGGATTCACTCAATATCTGTCAGAAATTCTACTTTTTCCACATAAATTTTGATGTATTCCTTAAAGATAGCCCACTCCTTATTCACTTTTTGTACCGTATCTCCTCTTATCCTCCATGTTATTTCGGCAATATGGAAGTATTCCATCATTTTATATAACCAGTCTGTTTTAGTTGGGACGCTGCTACTTTTCCAATTTTTGGCAATCAATAACTTTGCCGCCGTAGTTGCATACATAAATATATCTATAACGAACTGAAAAAGATGTTTAGATTTTCACTTGAAAAAAATCCAGAATCCTTTCTCCTAGGTATCATGTCAGAGGAAATAAAAAGAACGGTCAGGGAAAGTCAATTTTATTCTTTTTCTTATTACTACTACTACTATTTATTAAATTTGTATACCACCCTATATCCGCAGGTCTCAGGGCAGTTCTCAAAATAAAATCACAATATAAAATCACAAAATAAATAATAAAAATAAAAACAAGAATGACCCAATAACCCCCCTCCCTAACACATTTCTTGTTTGAGCCACATAGAACGGAGGAAGAAAGTCTCAAAAAGAGCTGGCCAAAATGTCTTCCATATTTATTTTGCCGCACGTTGTTCAGAATTGTGTGGCAACCACAGTAGCAGGAAAAAATTGGGGTAGGTGGGTGGGGTTTGAGGCACAGGGTAACAGTGAGTCATTCCAGAGCTCAAGACTTGAATTGTCAAGTCTTTCTTCCACCACAGCTGCACAAACACAAATTCCCATCCCAGAGCTGCAAACATACAAGAGTTTTGCATCTCCCCCGTCACCAGGCCCTTACAATGTACTTGAAGTCACAGATGAGCCCCTCCACCTGGGGCCGGTCCATCACCATGGTTTTGGTGGTTGACGGCAAGATGTTGAACCTCCGAAACCTACAAATGAAGAGAGGGAGAGATTTTAAAAAGCGCGTGCACACACACACACGTAATCTGTGAAAGCTTGCCATTCCCAGCTGGCCAGTAACAAGTTTATAGTCAGGTTGAGTTTTATTGTTATGCTATTCTGCTCAAGAAGGGACGCGGGTGGCGCTGTGGGTTAAACCACAGAGCTTAGGACTTGCCGATCAGAAGGTCAGCAGTTCGAATCCCCGCGATGGAGTGAGCTCCCGTTGCTCGGTCCCTGCTCCTGCCAACGTAGCAGTTCGAAAGCATGTCAAAGTGCAAGTAGATAAATAGGTACCGCTCTGGCGGGAAGGTAAATGGCGTTTCTGTGCACTGCTCTGGTTCGCCAGAAGCGGCTTAGTCCTGCTGGCCACATGACCCGGAAGCTGTACGCCGGCTCCCTCGGCCAATAAAGCCAGGGTCGGCCATGACTGGACCTAATGGTCAGGGGTCCCTTTACCTTTATTCTGCTCAAACAGCAAAATAGGAAGCCCAGCTGCCATGTTTCCTTCTGCTCATGTGCACCAGTTCTGGGGTTCAGCTTTCATGAGCAATGACTTGGATCGAGCCTTTTCTACATCCCAGAAGACACCTCCCTGCTGCCAATTTCCCTACCATGCAAGCAAGCAAATTTCACATCACCATCTCCAAACTGGTGTGTGTGTTTTGTAGAGGAATTCTGCAACATGCGATTGGATGCAACAATAATACTTTTGTGGTCAATTTGTATTGGACTGTCCAATCGCCATTCCAGTTTATTAGATGTCTCGCGATGCCCCTCTAACCTTAATTACATTATTGCCGTTTGGAGGGGCAGCTGCACTTCAGTGCAAAAAAAGCAAGATAAATAAACAACAACCTGGAACATGTTTTTTTGGTACGAAGAGTTATGGGATTTCAGCAGGAAGTTACGGGAGATGCACTGATTGGAATCAAAGCAATACAGTGGACGCTCAGGTTGCGAACGTGATCCGTGCAGGAGGCACGTCCGCAACCCGCAGCGTCCGCAACCCGCAGCGCCGCGTCTGCGCACGCACAGGTTGTGATTTGGCACTTCTGCGCATGCGCAAAGCATGATTTTGTGTTTCTGTGCATACGCATGCGCCGAAACCTGGAAGTAACCCATTCCGGTACTTTCGTGTTTCGGCACGTCCATAACACGAAAACGTGCAACCTGAAGCGTCTGTAACCCGAGGTAAGAGTGTATGTCTACCCTGAAACTTTTAGAGGACTGAAAGCAGGGTTTGCATATGCGCATCGCAAAAACATCAAGAGCATAAATAAGAAAGTTGGCAAGAGAAGAAGAGTTTGGATTTGATAGCCCGCTTTATCACTACCCGAAGGAGTCTCAAAGCGGCTAACGTTCTCCTTTCCCTTCCTCCCCCACAATAAACACTCAGTGAGGTGAGTGGGGCTGAGAGACTTCAGAGAAGTGTGACTAGCCCAAGGTCACCCAACGGCTGCATGTGGAGGAGCGGGGAAGCGAACCCGGTTCACCAGATTACAAGTCTACCGCTCTTAACCACTACACCATACTGGCTCAAGGGCCCCAAGTTGCTGGGTAAGCAAAAGCCTGCCCCTTCCTCTGCCATGTAGGTGCCAAATCAGAACTTGTACCCCACCACCAGCCTCCCAATGGGCAAGGCTCACTATTTTCCATTGCCTTTCCACAGCTGTTGCTTACCTTTCCAAATTAGCAGCGTTCCTGCAAGAGATGAAGAAAAAGAAAGAGTTTTTAGCGGAAGATGACCCAGCCCTATGCCCTCCCCACAAGTCGCACCACTGCAATCTTCAGCCCTGCCCATGCGACTATAAAACGAAACCAAAACCTTGGCACTTCACCAAGAGGAACCCACCGGTCGATCTCAATCTTCACCTCCATCGGGTGGTTTCGATCCAGGAGCTTCACCAGGAGCCTAAATTAAGTGGCAACAACAGTTTGTTATAACCCACAAGATCAAAAGTGGCAGGCAGCGGAGTTTCGCTCCGTAAGGGCAAGTGTGAGCCTGGCTCTGTTTCCTCCTTAAATCTCCATTTTTCAGCAGGACGGAGGATGGGAGCAAATGTAGAATTAGTGGGATCTGGTGCCACCTGCTGTTGGCAACCTTGCCACAACCCCACCACCAGGCCTCACTGACAGCAGGCCTCTGTCCTTCCTGAACCAAATCTTCCCTGCTCCCTCATTTTAAAATTCAATGGCTTTTAGTGCAATGTGCTTTGCTGAATATGTCTCTTGGATGCATATAAGCAGAAGCCTCCGGATCCAATCACCTCTTCCATCAGGGATAGCGGAAACAGTGACCATCCAAGATGTTGCTGGCCTCCTAAGTCCAATTCATCCCTGTGCTGGGCAGGGGCTGGCTTTGGTCTTTCAAATTTCAGTAACGCCCTGCGCAAGGCCAAAATCCGGCACCCCATTCCTCCCTCCCGTTCTGCTCAATTCACTAGGTCGAAGTTGTGACGTACCGCAGTGCCCCCTAAGCTCAGTGCCCAGTGGGGTGGAAATGGCTGCACTGTCATCATCATCATCATCATCATCATAATAATAATAATAATAATAATTTTTTATTTATACCCTGCCCTTCCCGGTTCGAGGACAGAGGTGCCTGGCGTTTGCTGGTCCATGGGGTCACGAAGAGTCGGACACGACTAAACGACTAAACAACAACTTCCCGGTTCAAAAACCAGGCTCGGGGCAGCTAACAACAAATTTAAAGCACTTTAAAACACTTAATTATAAAAGCAGCATAAAATACAGTATAAAAACATGAATAACAATAAAAATCAATTAGATACTCCCCAGGGCTAGCTGGCTGAATTGGTCCTACTTGGGCCAGCGAGGAGGCCAGGAGAGAATTAGCTGTGGGGTCTCAGAGAGGGTAATCTTCATAAAATGGGAGGGGGAGGGAAGGGAAATAAAAGATCAGGCTGAATTCAAATTAAAGGCCAGGTGGAATAGCTCTGTCTTACAGGCCCGACAGAAGGAGGTTAAATCCTGAAGGGCCCTAGTCTCATGGGACAGAGCATTCCACCAGGTCGGAGCCATCACTGAAAAGGCCCTGGTGGAGGACAGAACTGCCTCTGCCCCCTGGCCATGCTGGCTGGGGCCAATGGCAGCCTGACAACAACTGGAGAACCCCAAGCTGTTTGCCCAGTGGTTTTTAATTCATTCCAAAATGGCCGCCACCTGGAAGCCACTGCTGGATTAAGGACCTCTCTCCTCACCTGGCACGGACAGAGAACTTGTTGCTGGTTCTCAGCACCAGAGGCCGGCGGTTGGGCAATGGCATGGAAGGCTGAATCTCCACCACAAATGCACTGGGGAGAAAGCAGAAAGATCTTCAGCACCCACAATCTCCCCCTACTCACTTCCTTGTCTCCCCTTATTCGACGGGTGCCCTCCCTTCCTCTTGGCACCTTTTCAGAAGACAGGCAATTTGCTCTTTCAGCCGCTTCTCCTGCTGGGGCAACTGGACCCGCAGGGGATCTCCTTCATAGGACACCTTCTGGCGCAGCTCCTCCAGGGTGCGAAGCAGCAGCAACAAATGGAAGAGGTTCTCAGCACTCCCGGTGAACCTACGGTGAAGCAAAACAGATGGTAGGAGCACAGGCTGGAGGTGCAGGCGAACTTACTGCAGACCTTCCCATTGAGACTTACCACTTCTCCAGTTCTGTCAAGCTGGTGTCACAATTGTCCCCAATACACGCCCGCCTCTGGCAGTCTTGCCACACCGCTAGCTCCACCAGCAGAAAGTCCCTCAGGGTATCGGAGCGGCCTAGCAGCTCGTTGATCCGATCCAGCAGTTCCTGGTAGAAAGACTGTGAATAAGTAAGAGTGTACCCACACACACAGGCCTAAGTGGGGTGGCAAAGGCGGCAAGGCATTACTGAGGGTCCTACGGTCCCTGGCACAGTGAAGACATTGAGAAAGATACATACCGTATTTTTCGCTCTATAAGACACACCCGACCATAAGACGCATCTGGTTTTAAGAGGAGGAAAACAAGAAACAAGAAAGCAATGCAAAGCCTCTTGAGCGAAGAGGGAGGAGCGCTCCCGCTGCACTCAAGAGGCTTTGCGTGGCCATCGCTGAAGCCAGAAGAGCAAGAGGGACCGCTGCACACCAATCCCTCTTGCTCTTCTGGCTTCAGCGATAGCTGCACAGCCTGCATTTGCTCCATAAGACGCAAACACATTTCCCCTTACTTATTAGGAGGGAAAAAGTGCATCTTACAGAGCGAAAAATAGGGTACATCACAAGGGTACAGTGGTACCTTGGTTCTCAAATTTAAACCGTCCTTGGAGTCCATTTGACTCCCAAAACTGTTAGAAGGTGGCTTCCGATCGGCCGCAGGAATTTCCTGCACTCAAGCGGAACATTTTCGGCTTCCAAAAAGCATTCGTAAACCGCAACACTTACTTCCGGGTTTGTGGTGTTTGGGGGACGATTTGTTTGACAACTAAGCCGTTCAGGAACCAAGGTACCACTGTGTTTTGGGAAATGATACATGACGAGATAAAAAAGATGTTTAAAGTGAGCATGGGGAAAAACAACCACCCTGAAGTATTTCTGTTAGGGATTATAGGGGCAGAAATACCCCCAAAATTTGTTATTTATGTATGTAACAACTGCAGCTAGGATTCTTTATGCACAGAAATAAAGGCAGAAGAAGTTCCCACCAAAGAAGAATGGGTAAGGTAGACGATGCAGGATGGGCAAAATTAAGAGGATCTCATGATGAGTGTTTCATGGAAGAATGGATGCCTTTCTCAGACAGTTTAAAGAAATACCATAGTATGATGAGCTCAGGAGCAGGATTTGAGCTACAAGCCACAGAAGCAATTAGAATATAATATTGTGGCTATGATTTGATAGGAGACAGGGAGCAGCAGAAGGGCAGAAACAACAACTCCATGGAAAATGGGATGGGAAGTAAAAAAAAAAAATAAGAGAAAAGATGAAATTGTGATTTTATTGCATGTGTTAAAAATGTTGAAACTTAATAAAATATCATTGGAAAAGAGAGAGAGAAAGATAGTGTTCAGACTCACTTTGCGGCAACGGTTCACATTATTCACCATGTCCTGCAATGCCCGTGTTCTTTGGGCTGCAACCTCAGGAGTGAGTGTACTTCCTGCAAGAGAAAAATTGCATTTAATACCACGGGTGAGGTCGGCGGTAGCTACTTACAAGCCAAGAAGGACCCACCGGAAGCTGCCAACTATTGCCTCGGGGAAGTTCGGTTCCTGGCGTCTCGCCAGCCAGCAAGGGTAGACAGGAAACACAAGGCACATTACGGATGTGCTTCCTTTGTGAGTTCTTTATAATAATTTTATAATAATAATAATTTATTATTTATACTCCAGTTTCCCCAGCTACTCTAGGTGGCTCACAATCGAGTTTTAAAAACAACTCAGCATCAAATATTAAAAACTTCCCTAAGCAGGGCTGCCTTCAGATGTCTTTTAAAGATAAGATAGCTGCTTATTTCCTTCACATCTGAAGGGAGGGTGTTCCAATAGGGCGGGCACCACTACCGAGAAGGCCCTCTGTCTGGTTCCCTGTAACCTCACTTCTCGCAATGAGGGAACCGCCAGAAGGCCCTCGGCGCTGGATCTCAGTGTCCAGGTGAAAGATGGGGGGTGGAGACGCTCCTTCAGGTATACAGGACCAAGGCCGTTTAGGGCTGTAAAGGTCAGCATCAACACTTTGAATTGTGCTCGGAAACGAACTGGGAGTCAATGCAGCTCTCAGAGGACTGGTGTTATGTGGTTCTGGTGGCCACTCCCAGTCACCAGTCTAGCTGCCACATTCTGGATTAATTGCAGTTTCCGGGTCACCTTCAAAGGTAGCCCCACGTAGAGCACGTTGCAGTAGTCCAAGCGGGAGATAACTAGAGCATGCACCACCCTGGCGAGACAGTCTGCAGGCAGGTAGGGTCTCAGTCTGCATACCAGGTGGAGCTGGTAGACAGCTGCCCTGGACACAGACTTAACCTGCGCCCCCATGGACAGCTGTGAGTCCAAAATGACTCCCAGGCTGCGCACCTGGTCCTTCAGGGGCACAGTTACCCCATTCAGGACCAGAGAGTTTTGCTTTCAGTCGCTGTTTTGGTGTGACAGTAACTCTCTCTCTCCTTGCTTTGCAAAAAGTCCCGTCAATAAATAAGTCTTCGAAGTGCCTCAATTTAATTTTTTTGTTTATTTGTTGCCACAATAGATTGGCATGGCTAGCCCACTAGAGTTTGTAAAGGGGAGATGTGAAAGATGGAGGCATCTACAGAATCTAAGCTGGGAGATTAGAGACACCACAATGGTTCGGCACACAGAAACCCACATACCCACACCTGCCAGCTGTTTTTAGGCATGTGGCATGGAAATCAGAAGACAGGAAGGCAAAGATTGTGGACTTTGCAAGAGAAATCAGGGCAAGTTGTCTGTTTTTAAAAGAGACCATCCCCAGCAATTAAGGACAGTTGAAGAGAACAGTTCTCCTCCAATCTTAGCCATGCCTCTGAATACCAGTTGAAGGAAATCACAGGTGGATGGAGGACTGTGTATTGCTTGCAGACTCCCCAAAGGTATCTGACTGGCCACTGGGAGAACAGGATGCTGGACTAGGTGAACTCTTCTTGCATTCCTCACCCAACATCTGGTGCGTCTTGTAACGGAAGTCAAAGGCATCCTGCAGATCTTCAAGATGGCCTACGGAACATTTCAGCCCCTATGGAGCAGAACCAGGTGGCATTCTCAGTCAAAGTAAGCAACTCCAAACAGGTGGGACCAGGGATGCCCTGCCTGCATGACAACCCAACCTGAAGAGTAAGGGCTAAACAGGAGCCCACCCACTCCCACACCGAGCGCCTGTCTGTTGTCTAAACGGCCTCGGCCCAGTATACCTGGAGGAGCATCTCCACCCCCATCATTCAGCCCAGACACTGAGGTCCAGCTCTGAGGGCCTTCTGGCGGTTTCCTCACTGCGAGAAGTGAAGCTACAGGGAACCAGGCAGAGGGCCTTCTCGGTAGTGGCACCCGCCCTGTGGAACGCCCTCCCATCAGATGTCAAGGAAATATACAACTATCTGACTTTTAGAAGACATCTGAAGGCAGCCCTGTTTAGGGAAGTTTTGAATGTTTGATGCTTTATTGTGTTTTTAATATTCTGTTGGGAGGTGCCCAGAGTGTCTGGGGAAACCCAGCCAGATGGGTGGTGTATTAATAATAATAATAATAATAATAATAATAATAACCAACTCTTGCCAGACTAGCAGCTGCCTATTCCCAAAATGGGAGTGAAGGGATGCAACTACCCCTTTTTTGAAAAACAGGAGGTTGTGAGAGAAAAACTGAAGTGTGTGGGACAGGGAGCGCATTGTGATCTGTGTGGCAACAGATGTTATGGCAAGACCTCTAAAAGGCCACCTTCAAATACTGCCCCAGTAAATTCCCATGATTTCCGCCGGGGCAGCATTTGAGGGCCTCACATAAGACCCGCCATCAGTTGCCGCCTCCACAACCGGGTAAATTGAGGCGGAAGTCTCAGACCGCTCAGCACTCCCAAAGGCATCAACAGGCACAAACAGGGTCTGAAATTTGCACTGGACTACGGGGCCAACGGAAACAACACGTTTTCTCTTGGGGGGAGGTTGACAATCCCTTTTTCCAAGCCTATTCCAAATCAAGTTGTAGGGGTGGGACCCCCGTTATTTACTTTTGAGGGTCCCCCTCCCAATTTCCCTTAAGCAGGGGAATGGCCTAGACCAGGAGATATTTACCAAAGGGGCTAAACCATTTCAACACTCAGCCAATTTGTATAGGCCTACAGGAAGTATTTGCTATTCAGGAAAAAAGCATTTCTCTCTGTAAGCTCCGTTCAAGCTTCACATTTACCAAACCGCACGTTGGCTCTGCCCCAAGTTGGTGAGGCTCTTTTGACATCAACAGGAAATAGAGCCTTTAGTGTCATCGGACCAGGCCTGCAAAAAGCTTTTCCAGCAGAGATTCAGCAAGCACCTTCTGTTTCAACCTCTAAACGCCTGCTGAAAACCTTTCGATTCTGGCAGGTTTACGCAGGCGATTAAGAACCCATCTTTCCATGACCGTTAGCTGATGAGCTACAGTTTTAATTTTTGCGTGTGTGCTTTTATTATATGCAGATATTTTTGTAAACGGTTTTGATATTCTTAATGATATAGTGGGATGAAGACCCCAGTCACCCACCACTTACATTTGCATCCCTCTATTTAAAAAATTACAATATGCAAATATTATGCAAATATGCTCATGCCCTGAGAGCCATCTGAACACCCAGCAACATGCCCGGGGGAAAAGGAAGCCTAAGGTAAAGGGACCCCTGACCATTAGGTCCAGTTGTGACCGACTCTGGGGCTGTGGCGCTCATCTCGCTTTACTGGCCGAGGGAGCGGACGTACAGCTTCCAGGTCATGTGGCCAGCATGACTAAGCCGCTTCTGGCAAACCAGAACATCACATGGAAACGCCGTTTACCTTCCCGCTGGAGTGATACCTATTTATCTACTTGCACTTTGACGTGCTTTCGAACTGCTAGGTTGGCAGGAGCAGGAACCGAGCAACGGAAGCTCACCCCGTTACGATAATGATAATAATAATAATAATAATAATAATAAAAACTAAATTAAACCCTGCAATAGGTCATGGGAGGGGACGGGGTCTGTACAAATACACTGCATTTATATCAGCTATAGCTCCTGGCATCTACTGCATGAACAGGTTCAGGAAGAGGATCACAGCATATTGCACACAAAATGGGTGGCGTACAGGATCCGTTGAATTAACACATCCGAGAATTGGAAATCCCTGCAAATAACACTGCAACGAAAGGGAAGCAACCCAGCAGGTATTACACACGCACTCTCACCTGAATAGCCCTTCGCATATCCATGAGCCGGCTCTCAATGTTGTGATGTGGGTTGAGGACCACAGAGGCACTAGGGGGTGGTTCCACCCGTGCCTGCAGAGGGAGGGAGAGGAAACAAAACAGACGGACTTGGAAACTATGCACTGGTGCTGAGGATCATCACTGCAGAAGGCACACAGAGATAGTATGTGCCTAGGATTGCCCATCTTCTCCAGTTCCACGCACACAGAAAGCAAGCCTGCTGTAGAGCCCCAAAGGTGTCAGCCATTTTAAAGTTTCTAGCCCTCACTGTTGTGAAAATTCATTTGAAAAACAAATTCAAAAGGGACTGACCACCTGGACCTTACGTGAATACTTCCCTGTTCTTCTTTCTGTCAACCACACATCACTGCTCTTATTACTCGCTTATCTGGACCATTCTTCTATTCGCTACCGTAACACCAGTGTGTGAGTGAGAGAGAGAGTGAGCGCAGATTTGGCAAATTTTCCAATGCCAAGCTCAGTTCTAAGATGCAAACTGAAAACATGGATGCACAAAAAGCAAGTAAAGGCACCTCACAGTACAGTGGTACCTCAGGTTAAGTACTTAATTTGTTCCGGAGGTCTGTTCTTAACCTGAAACTGTTCTTAACCTGAAGCACCACTTTAGCTAATGGAGCCTCCTGCTGCTGCCATGCCGCCAGAGCACAATTTCTGTTCTCATCCTGAAGCAAAGTTCTTAACCTGAGGTACTATTTCTGGGTTAGCAGAGTCTGTAACCTGAAGCATCTGTAACCTGAAGCGTATGTAACCCGAGGTACTACTGTACAATTTAGTAACTAGTATGGCTCACTTTCAGTGAAAATCAGGGGTCGGCAACGTGTGGCCCATAGGCCAGATGAGGCCCACAAAGACCGTTTTACCAGCTCATGAGCCACCCCTGAACCGAGCCACACCGGAAATTGCGTGTGCGCATGTCCAGACGCCAAAAATCGCTTCTGCGCATGTGTGATTTTCGGCATCTGGGCATGTGCAGAAGCGATTTCCGGCACCGCAGACATGCGCAGATGCGATTTCCAGCATCGCACTGCGCCAGACCGGGCCACGGACAATCTCTGTGGGAGTGATTCGGCCCATGGCCGGTAAACCTTGCCAACTCGTGGCATAAATACAGTGGTACCTCAGGTTACATACGCTTCAGGTTACAGACTCCGCTAACCCAGAAATAGTCCTTCAGGTTAAGAACTTTGCTTCAGGATGAGAACAGAAATCGCGCAGCAGCGATGTGGTGGCAGTGGGAGGCCCCATTAGCTAAAGTGGTGCTTCAGGTTAAGAACAGTTTCAGGTTAAGAATGGACCTCCGGAACGAATTAAGTACTTAACCTGAGGTACCACTGTACTGAACAGAAGCATGTGCTGAGAGCAAACGATGGGAGGAAATTAAGGAGGCGGAAGCTTCCAACAAACTAGGGCTGTGACCAAGAGACATTGTGCCGCTCGGAAGGAGGATGAGGAGAACTGTAGCACAAGGAGCAGATCCGGCAGCCCAGCATGAGCACCAAGCGTCTCCACCCCCATCGTTCTGCCCGGACACTGAGGTCCAGCGCCGAGGGCCTTCTGGTGGTTCCCTCACTGCGAGAAGCAAAGCTACAGGGAACCAGGCAGAGGGCCTTCTCAGTAGTGGCACCCGCCCTGTGGAAAGCCCTCCCATCAGATGTCAAAGAGAAGAACAACTACCAGACTTTTAGAAGACATCTGAAGGCAGCCCTGTTTAGGGAAGCTTCTAGTGTTTAATAGGTTATTGTATTTTAGTGTTCTGTTGGAAGCCGCCCAGAGTGGCTGGGGAAACCCAGCCAGATGGGCGGGGTATAAATAATAAATTATTATTATTTTATTATAAGCGAGTTTCTCTTACCCGCGACCCAGCCAAGGCTTCTGCGAGGATCCCTTGCTCTTCTCTCAGCAAGCCATCAATGTAGTTGGCCAGTTGCTCTGGATGATCTTGATACTTGGCCTGGAAGGAAAGGCCACAGCAAAATGACCCAAAAGGACATGGAAGCATGCTGCAACAATCCGGTTACAGTACTGACAGGAGGAGGAGGTACTTCCCACATTCATTCAATCATTCATTTAATCTCTGCTAGATAAGAATGGGAATTAAAGTTAAGTGAATACTTGGAACTCGCAAAAATGACCAAATAGGAATAAAGCAATTGATGTAGTCCAAAAGGAGTGGGAACGCTTTAACACTTGTCTAATGAGACAAGATTCAACAAGCAAAATATGGTTGTGCCTAGAATAAATCTGTAAATAGAAAAAATGTTTCCAAGATGAGGACAGGAATTGAAATACAGGAAAAATCTGTATCAGATAGATAGAATGAATTGTGGAGAGGTAGATGGAAGTTGAAAATAGGATAACAAAAGAGATCTATTCCAAAAGGGAAAGTATTTTGTTTGAGAATTGATGTTTTGGATAGTATTGTATAGTTAAATTCATTTCATTTTTGTTCATGATTTGCTTTTCTCCCCCCCCCCCCCGTTTTTCTTTTTTTTTGTTTTGTTTTCTGTAGATTTGTTTGCTATGTCTCGTCTTGTTTATATTTGCACAAAACTCAATAAAAATCAGAAAAGGGGGGGGATATTTATTTATTTATTTTATTTCTATACCGCCCTATACCCAAAGGTTACATCACATCACAACCTTGAGGAATTCTATGCTTTTTGCATTTCACATTTTCTCTCTTTGCTCATGCATGTGTGCGTAACACACATAAATATGAATCCCCTACCTCTCCCTCACTGCCAACTGAGAATATATTGAAGATATTAAAGATATACCTCAATATATACGATAAAGTGGGCTTCAGTCCACCTAGGTTTTTCCCCACAATACAACACACACAAATGCACATATACATACAGACTCATCCCATTCTTCCAATTATGAAGTTGTTTCAACCAATTTTAATTTTGTATTTTGTGTGTGTGTGTAGTAATTTTATTAAATTCTGTTTCACAATTTCAAATAAACATTTTACAAACTTTAGAATATCCAGTGACTTCCCTTCTTCTCTTTCCATGGTTCATTTTACATATCACATACATCCCTGCATATTTTACTCTAACCATTCAAATCATGTTTACATCCATCCAAAATTATTCACTCTGTTGAATTTATCTTAATGCTGCCAGTGTTTTTGGCTCTACACAGCTCTTTTCCATATACAGTGGTACCTCAGGTTACATACGCTTCAGGTTACAGACTCCACCAACCCAGAAATAGTGCTTCAGGTTAAGAACTTTGCTTCAGGATAAGAACAGAAATTCTGCTCCGGCGGCGCGGCGGCAGCAGGAGGCCCCATTAGCTAAAGTGGTGCTTCAGGTTAAGAACAGACCTCCGGAACGAATTAAGTACTTAACCCGAGGTACCACTGTAGTCAATAAATGTTTCCCAATCTTCCTTAAACTTTAATTTTGCATTGAGTGGATAAGAAACCTAAGAAACAACAACAGTACAATCCTAGGCCTTCTCAACAGAGGCCTCTCAGTTGCCAAATGCCCTGCCACAAAACTTGAGTTCTGCCAGGATTTTTTTGTTGTTCTCCTCACAGACCTTTTAAACTCTGTGATTTTAATCTCAGATATTACCGTATTTTTCGCCCTATAGGACGCACTTTTTCCCCTCCAAAAATGAAGGGGAAATGTGTGTGCGTCCTATGGGGTGAATGCAGGCTTCAGGAAGCTCTGCGCAACCCTCGGGAGACCGGCGCGACTTCCGAGGGCTGCGCAGAGCTGCCTGCAGTCCCGGGCTTCGCGCAGCTTTCCGCAAGCCTGGGGAGACCGGCGCAACTTCCCGCCGGGCTCCCTAGGCTTGCGGATAGCAGGCCGTTCTCAGGGCTGGGAAAGCTCGGGCTTCCCCCGCGCCTGGGGGGGAAATAAATTTCCTTTTCTTTATTTCCCCCCCCCCCAAAAAAAACTAGGTGCATCCTATGGGGCGAAAAATACGGTATGCTGTTTTTAAATGTGGCAGTTGGACTGCACATTTTTAAGCACTGCGTTTACTTCTCAAGATTTTTAGATGCCCCGTCGGACGTTCGGGTTCCAAAAGAACGTTCGCAAACCGGAACACTCACTTCCGGGTTTGCGGCATTCGGGAGCCAAAACGTTAGAGAACTAAGCTGTTTGAAAACCAAGGTACGACTGTATATAGAATTTCATTTACATGAATTTTGGGGTCTTAAACTGGTTTTTATAGTTTTGTATGCCTTTGCCTTCTCCACGGCCTATCTTCCCAGGGAAATACTAGTTCTGCTTTGGCTGTTTCCCTATGGCTCAGCCCTCCAATATGCATAAAAACTTAACACCCCGGGCCCATACCTGTAGGTTGAGTTTGGAGCGGCGCAGGTTGTGCTTGAGGACCATGTTAGAATTGTTTTCTTCCCCCAAAACGAGACGTCCGAGTTGATCGTCGAGCAGCCCCAGCATGGTGTGGAAAAGGCTGCAAGCCTGCAAAGGGTCGGATCGTGCCGCTTCGTTCCTGAAAGGAACACGAAGGAGAAATGGCAGAGGGAGGGTGAATCCTTGGCTCAAATGCACAAAAACAAGGATATACAGTGGTCCCTCTGGATGTGAACGGGATCCACGACTGCACGTTTTGCCGCTTCTGCGCATGACATCATTTTGAGCGTCTACGCATGCGCGAGCGGCGAAACCCGGAAGTAACGCCTTCCGTTACTTCCAAGTCGCCGCAGAGCGCAACCCGAAAATGCTTAACCTGAAGCGTATTCATCCCGAGGTATGACTGTAGATCAAGGGTTGCCAGCTTAGGCCTCCAGCTGTTTTTGGACTACAGTTCCCATCATCCCTGACCACTGGTCCTGCTAAGCTAGGGATGATGGGAGTCGTAGTAATTTCTGATATAACCGTAAAAACAACAGTGGTACCTCGGGTTACATACGCTTCAGGTTACATATGCTTCAGATTACAGACTCCGCTAACCCAGAAATATTACCTCAGGTTAAGAACTTTGCTTCAGGATGAGGACAGAAATCGTGCAGTGGCGGCGCGGTGGCAGCAGGAGGCCCCATTAGCTAAAGTGGTGCTTCAGGTTAAGAACAGTTTCAGGTTAAGTACAGACCTCCGGAACAAATTAAGTACTTAACCGAGGTACCAGTGGTTCTTAACCTGAAACTGCTCTTAACCTGAAGCACCACTTTAGCTAATGGGGCCTCCCGCTGCCGCCGCACTGCTGGAGCATGATTTCTGTTCTCATCCCGAAGCAAAGTTCTTAACCCGAGGTACTATTTCTGGGTTAGCGGAGTCTGTAACCTGAAGCGTATGCAACCTGAGGTACCACTGTACTCTGAAAAATTCAGCGGCGTAGCGTGGGTTGCCAGCACCCGGGGCAAGGCAAGTAATTTGCGCCCCCTAACCCGGGGCAAGGCAAGTAATTTGTGCCCCCTAACCCCTAACCTGCCGCCGCTGCCAGCTTCTTCTTGCTGCTGCCTGGTCTGGTCTGGTGTGGTTCCCTCCCGCGCTCAGCGCTGCGCTGGGCGGCCGCTGCACTGTCCCTCCCCCAGATAGTCCCTCGCTCTCTCTCCGCACCGCACGCCTGGCACCCACCCCCTCCACAGTGGGCGGCGACCCAGCGGCTCGTATCGGATTCGCAGCCAGCACTGCAGTGAGAGAGAGTGAGTGAGCCAGGTAGGGGCAGAGAGCTGCGAGTGCGAGCGAGCGCCCCCCAGATGTTGCGCCCGCCCCCCCCTGCACTCCCCACGCTACGCCACTGGAAAAATTTAGTACTCCAAAAATGAAACTTCCATCTGGTTGTAAGTATTAAGATTATACCAGCAAGAATGAGTCTTTCTGTAAAAAATAATGACTGAAATAAAGTCTTACTGACTAGTGATTTAAATCGATTTGATTTAAATCAAATCCACCTTAGCCACAAGGGTGCTTTACTTGTCCAAACCAAGAGCAGCTGGTGAGGAGACGCAGTACTTCGCACTTGGGACTCCCAGTGACAGAGTCACTGCTATTTGATGGGGAAAATGGGGGGGGGGTGGTGAGGCAGCAAATAAATTCCAGGGTGTGTGGGTGAGAAATGGGAACAACACAACATAAAATTTTGCTTCCCTCATGGGGCTAAAATTCCCAGTGTTCCCTGTGAAGAGGTATTGATTGTTAAACCACTTTGAGAATTGCAGCTCCGTGAATGGAATCGGGGCGTCTCCTAAGAATTCTTTCTTTTTTTAAAAAAAATCAGTCTTTATTGGTTTATAAACTACACAGACACACAAAGAAAAGAAAAGAAAAGAAAACACACAGCACATAACTCAATAAAACAGAACAAAACAGTACAATAGGAAAACACAAAAATATTTCAGCCATCGTTTTCCAACCTCCTAAAAACTCTCAGCATCCATAACAAAGCAGAGCTCTCATAATTCTTTGAGGGTTATCAAGTGGTATTTTTCTTTAAAAAAGAGGTGCCGGAACTGACAATGAACACATCCCTTGTTCTCTTATAATGGAAATGGAGCTCACCTGAGAGGTGCCGGAACTGAGTTACGGCTGGGGGGGAAATGGCCTGGGTATATCATAGTGTGTTAAATGTATGGTGTCAACCATACACAATGGAGAAGCCAAAATGGTATAGAACCCATAATGGTAGAGGTTGGGGGGCGAGAAATAGCCAGGAAATGGGAGTTTCCTTTCTTGACAGCGACCCAAGTGGCATTACCAGTTCTGCTCCTCGATCCAATAGGCAAGGTACTCTCGTACTTCCATGGGCAGGCAGTCTTCAGAATAAAGGTAGTGCACCTGGTCCAGGTAAGGTCCATCCAACTTCTGGATCTGTTGCCACTGAGACATGTTTGCTGGCGGAAGGGTCAAGACTGGGCTCCTCACAGCTGACAATGCCTGAGGAAGCAAGTCAGAACATGAAAAGTTTGAAAGGAGTCCTTCATAGCGAACAGAGAAACTGCAAGTCACAGGTCCTATTTTAGAATGGACAACAGATGACGAGAAGAGATGTTTGGGCCAGAAACTTAAGAGGCTTGGACAGAAGCTTGGACGCAGCGAACTGCGCAGATAAGAATAAAAGGGAAAACGCCTAGTAAAAGTGAACTATTGGGCTTTCATATATAGAGATGGAAAGAGAATTATTTTAGAAATGATAATTACTGATTTAGTGTGGATTGGCTCATTTGTGGAGTAACCTCACTTGTATATACAGCAGATGCTAAAATATTGCATGTGCAGGTATTGGCAAGTGGATAGCTGATGGTTAAAGATACAGTGGTACCTCGGGTTACATACGCTTCAGGTTACACACGCTTCAGGTTACACACGCTTCAGGTTACAGACTCCGCTAACCCAGAAATAGTGCTTCAGGTTAAGAACTTTGCTTCAGGATGAGAACAGAAACCGTGCTCCAGCGGCGTGGCGGCAGCAGGAGACCCCATTAGCTAAAGTGGTGCTTCAGGTTAAGAACAGTTTCAGGTTAAGAACGGACCTCCGGAACGAATTAAGTACTTAACCCGAGGTACCACTGTACATAAGTGTAAAAACAATGCAGGGTGGATAAAAATCAATGATTTTTTAAAATCAGATTTTCAAAATTTAAATCAATTTTTAAAATATAAATCAGATTTTCAAAATTTAAACTGGATTTTCAAAATTAAATGCTTTTGGAGGAAAAAAAATCTTTCTAAAGATAGTTTTCTATTTAAGTTACATTATCGTCCAACGGCCATTCATCAGGAAATAAGGATTTGTTTTAAGTTTTTCATGTGTGCTGAAACTCAGTCTAAGGTGTGTGTGCGTTTTTTACACCATTTAAGCACATCAGTTAACAAACATGGATACATATGCTATAATGTTACTGTTTTCGTTAAATAAATTGTTTAAATTGTTATAAAGGAAATGATCATTTTTCTCCTTCCAATAAAGTACAGCAGAAAAGTTGCCCAAATATAAACAGTTAACTTATTAAACCTCACAATAATTTCATAATTATCTGTCTATGTATTACTAATAGTATAACCAAATTAGTAATTTTTGATCTAACTGTAAAAACTACTCTGAAAATTTATTATTCCAAAAATGAAACCTTCTTCTAGTTGTAAATATTACGAAAGCTCCTGCAGCCAATCAGAAGCCACAGAACCGCACCTGACATTCGGGTTACAAAGAATGCTTGCAAACTGGAACGCCCACTTCCAGGTTTACGGCCTTTGGGAGCCAAAACGTTCAACTCGCAAGGCATTTGGGATCCAAGGTACGACTGTACAGCTTTTGGTGAATGATGACACACTTCTTTCCCCTGGCTTTTGACACCTGAGATGCATATTTTAAAGACCCACTTTATTTCTGTAATTGTAAGTTGATCGTTGTGTTTTAATATTAACATTGTGTTTTAATTATTATAACCTGCCCTAAGGCCTTAGGGTGAAGAGTAGGTAATAGATTGTAATAACCATAATTTGCTTTTAGGGGACATATAAAAATGTTTGAATTTTTATCCTTACAGCAAACTGTAAGTATTTTATTGTTCTTCTTCCATTATGCTAGGACATGGGCAGGCTACATGAGTAGAACGTGCCCTTTTATTTAAAATGCATCTCTGGGTTATTTGTGGGGCATAGGAATTTGTTCCTTTTTTCCTCAAAATATAGTCCGGCCCCCCACAAGGTCTGAGGGACAGTGGACCAGCCCCCTGCTGAAAAAGTTTTCTGACCCCTGTGCTAGAAGAACGTGATGCAAGCGTTTTGTATATTTCAATTTCTTACTATATATTTTTATCTTTATACTTGTACAGTTTAACATGCAATCTGTTAAATTATTTTAATCTGAGCAATTCACAAATAATGGATGCAAATAATACACTATGACTATTTCTTTTTAATTCTTGGCTGTGCAATTTTCCCTTCACCAATAAAAACAGCGACAATAAAATGCTAACATTAAAAAAAGACTCCAATTTGACCTCTGAATCAGAAATCGTAACTGAGTTATGCTCAGTTACAAAAGTCTGTTACCATGAGATTTAAGCAGCTCTGCCAGTTTTCAGAGTCAAAAACTAAAAGGAGATGTGAAACCGAAAATGCCAAGCAATGGGGATAGGGAGGAAGACAGGACAATTCAAACCAAACAAATAATAATAATAAGCAATCAGATACCATAAGACTTTCAGAAACACGAAAGTTAAGTTCTCAACAAGAGCCTATTCAAACCCAACAGGGTTTAAAAGCAGTCAAAGGGATTTACTTATGCAGAGGTCAGATTATTTATTTGGTTTTTTAAGCTGTATACTGCAATTTCATTTTTAAAAAATAATAAAAATGGTTTACAGTAGTTAAAATCCAATAGGAAAATTACAAATAAAAATGCAAACCCTTAGGACTGTAACAAATTTGACTCTCAATGGCTTTCAAAGCAAGTCAGGAATTGTCAGCCAGGAATTCAAACCAATTGATACTGTCTGGGTTGAGCATCATTGCAGCCAACTGTTATCTAGTCACATTATGCCTTTCACCCACTTTTCCCTATGGGGCAAAGGAAGGTGCTTCCAGATGGGTGTCAGTTGCAGGATGAATGCCAAGTTTTCACATCGTCCACACGTCTCTGTCGGCATCATTCTTCCAGTCCCCTGCCCACCCAACCCTGATTTCAGCCAGAGCTGGACCATAAAGAAGGCTGATCGCCGAAGAATTGATGCTTTTGAATTATGGTGCTGGAGGAGACTCTTGAGAGTCCCATGGACTGCAAGAAGATTAAACCTATCCATTCATAATGAAAATGATTTATAGGTGGTACATGACACCAGTCAAGCTTGCAAAAATCTATCATTTGCCCGAAAATAAATGTTGGAAATGTAATGAGACTGAAGGTACATTCTTTCACCTTTGGTGGACATGCCCAAGGATTAAGACATTCTGGGAGATGATTTATAATGAAATGAAAAAGGTATTCAAATATACCTTTCTGAAGAAACCAGAGGCCTTTCTCCTGGGCATGGTCGGCCAATTGGTGCCAAAGAAGGACAGAATTTTTTTAATGTATGCTACAACAGCAGCAAGAATACTCATCGCGAAGCATTGGAAGACTCAAGATTTACCTACCCGGGAAGAATGGCAAATGAAGTTGATGGACTATATGGAATTGGCGGAAATGACTGGCAGAATCCGAGACCAGGGAGAAGAGTCGGTGGAAGAAGACTGGAAAAAGTTTAAAGACTATTTACAGAAATACTGTAAAATTAATGAATGTTAGAAAAATGGTGGAATGAAGTTATATGGCTTTAGTAGAAATGTTATAAGGAATTAAGTATAAATAGATTAATGGAGTATTAAAGGGAAAAATAAGGTTAGAATGTGTTTAGACAATTATAGGATAGAAATCAGAGGAAGGTGGAAAGGAATTGCTGAAACAATTAATAGAAGTGGAATACAAAAAGGGAGGTGTGAGGAGGTCATTGAAATAAGTGAATGAAAGATAAGATATTGAAATTGTTTGATGTGTTTTAAACTGTTTTTGTTTTGTTTTGTTAGTTTAATGTGTTAGTGTTATGTAGTGTTTTTGTATTGTATTGTATTGTTCATTTTTTTGTTTGTAGTGTTTAAATTGTTGGAAAAGTAATAAATATTATTTTCAAAAAAAGAAAAGAAAAAAAATTACCTGCTTGCAACAACAAGCCTGGAAGCACCAAAAACCAGGGTTTCCCACAGAACAAACAGAGCAACCACAGCCCACTTGACCCATAAATCTAAAAATGCAGTTTCTCAAACGGTGGAACAGGACTCATCAGTTTGCCTCAGTGCCACCGCCTGCCCAGTTTTCCTTCCTCGCTTTTCTTCCCTGGCCACGAGCCATGCCAGCAACTCCTGGCAAGCAAGAAGGAAGGCAGCCAAGAAGAAAGGTCTCCTTCCTCTGAAGTGAAAGTACCAGAGGACATGTTGAAGGAAGAAAGTGAGCAAAAACGTTATTGTTGTTGCACGCCATCCCAATCGCTGAGCGGTGCGAGATTCCAGGGGTTCCGGGCTTCGTGAGAGTGTGCTATCTGCATGATATAGGGTTTAAAGGTAAAGGGACCCCTGACCATTAGGTCCAGTCGTGGCCGACTTTGGGGATGCGGTGCTCATCTCGCTTTATTGGTCAAGGGAGCCGTAAAGTTCAACAAGAGGGCCCTGGGGCAGACCACCCCCTCCGGAAATAGAACTTAGTTGAAGATGCTACCTGCCCTTGACTGGAATCCTAAAACAAAGCAAGTTTTCAAAGAGGACTTTCCCATCCATTTTCCGCCTCGCCAGGACCACCTGCGTGACTCCAGGTAAAACACTCTTCAGAGCCTGGGGTGCAGTTTCCTGAACAATGCGAGATTGGGGTGCAAGGAAACTCCCCTTCCCTGAGCTTCCTGAAGTTACGGTACCTTCTGGTCAAGGCGTTTTTGTTTTGTTGTGTTCTGAGACTTCTGCGAAGGGATGCGGAGAGCGTAGGACTTGCCGATCAGAAGGTTGGTGGTTCGAATCCCCGCGACGGGGTGAGCTCCTGTTGCTCGGTCCCTGCTCCTGCCAACTTAGCAGTTCGAAAGCACGTCAAAGTGCAAGTAGATAAATAGGTACCGCTCTGGCGGGAAGGTAAACGGTGTTTCCGTGCGCTGCTCTGGTTCGCCATGTCATGCTGGCCACATGACCCAGAAGCTGTACGCCGGCTCCCTCGGCCAATAAAGCGAGATGAGTGCCACAACCCCAGAGTCAGCCACGACTGGACCTAATGGTCAGGGGTACCTTTACCTAAGGCTTCTGCAATGGTTTAGGGTCTCAGAAATGTGGGGTCTCAGGAAAAGCCACAGACATACATACATAAAACATGACACCTTAAAACAAACTTCCCTATACCTTCAGATACCGTGCTTGCAACTTAAAAATCCCCAGCTCAGGGGTTTATTTGTTGAATTCCGGGAGCGAACGGAGCTCATCGCCCCGTGGTTATAGATCAACATGCTTTTATTATTATTATTTTTCCGGACTTCGCAGCAATATAATGCATTTGGGGCGGGGTGTCGTCGTGGTTGCGATTCCTACTGTGAAGCAATTGGAAGCCAGAAATCCTTGCCGACCTACTGCAAGCAGTGCAGGTATCTGAGAGAGCCGCGCTCTTCTGCCAAAGCGGAAACAGATCCCAAGATCTCCAGATCCACCTGGCAGATCAACAGATCCACCTGTCCAGGTGTGCTCTGCGACTCCTCCCCCCCCCAACACATCCGGGCCCTCTGCGCCCCCCACCCCCAGCCATACATTTCTCCTACCGGTGCAAAACCGCAAGACCCGGCGCTCAGCCGCCTTGGAGAAATGTTATTTCGCAGCTTGCAATTCCAGGGCGCGCCTCCCTCCTTGGCGCTGGAGGAAGCGGCGGCTTGGAAGGGAGGTGGGCGGGGCATAGGACGCTGCTCCGCCCACCGCTCTGCGCGATTGGACGAAGAGCCCCAGCAGCCCTTAGCGACGGAGGGAGGGGCGACCCGAAGGAGGAAGAGCCGCCGAGAATTTCGATTTCCCAAGAATGACGTCGGCGATGGGGCGGGGACTGAGCCCTGGAAAGCCTTGCCCGCCCGCCCACAGCCTTAGTTGGCACGTGGGTTCTTCATTGGTTGGTTTCTTTGCAGTTGTTAAATGAATGTTAAAAAAAGAAATTAATTAGTTAATTAATTATATTGGTCCTTCAACTTGCCCAGGGCAACCCAATAATCATCATCATCATCATCATCAACTTTTACAGTGGTACCTTGGGTTAAGTACTTAATTCGTTCCGGAGGTCTGTTCTTAACCTGAAACTGTTCTTAACCTGAAGCACCACTTTAGCTAATGGGGCCTCCCGCTGCTGCTGCGCCGACACTGCACAGTTTCTGTTCTCATCCTGAAGCAAAGTTCTTAACCTGAAGCACTATTTCTGGGTTAGCGGAGTCTGTAACCTGAAGCGTATGTAACCCGAGGTACCACTGTCGATGGCTTTCCGCAGGATTAGGGTCTGTCTTACCACCAGACGAACAAGCAAGCAATACACCCCACAGAGATAATTAAAGCCTAAAAAGGAAAGAGAGATGGATTAATAAACACCCCGCCCACTTCTGAAAGGCCTAGCTTTGTTTAATCGGCCAAAGACCTGATTCAAGAGGAATGTATTTGCTTAGCCCCTCTCCAGCTAGCTGCCTGGATAGCTCAGCTGGTTAGAGCGTGGTGCCGATGATGCCAAGGTTGCAGGTTCGATCCCTGTATGGAACAACTGTATATTCTTGCATTGCAGGGGGCTGGACTAGAATGATCCTCAGGGTCCCTTCCCATTCTGTGTGATGATGGTGCCAGGCATTGGAGCCCACTCCTAGGGACAGAGATGTGCCTTCGCCTCCCGCCATGGAATATTAGAAGGGGGTGGGCCCCCTCCAGTTGCTGGGAATTGCCATTTAAACGGTGTGTGTCTTGGGATCGATTGTGCAGGGCAGAGTTTATCTGCCCCCCCCAACTGTTTTACAGTGGTACCTCCGGTTACATACGCTTCAGGTTACAGACTCCGCTAAATATTGCTTCAGGTTAAGAACTTTGCTTCAGGATGACAACAGAAATTGTGCTCCGGTGGTGCAGCAGCAGCAGGAGCAGGAGGAAGGCCCCACTAGCTAAAGTGGTGCTTCAGGTTAAGAACAGTTTCAGGTTAAGTACGGACCTCCGGAACGAATTAAGTACTTAACCCGAGGTACCACTGTATTCAAGTTGGTACTCCTGGTTCCAGGCAAGCCTCCCTGGGGAGAGCATTCCACAAACAGTGAGACACCACAGAAAAGGCCTGTTCTCGCTTAAGGCTGTACAGTGGTACCTCGGGTTACAAACACTCCAGGTTACAGACTCTGCTAACCCAGAAATAGTACCTCGGGTTAAGAACTTTACCTCAGGATGAGAACAGAAATCGCGCGGCGGCGGCGGGAGGCCCCGTTAGCTAAAGTGGTACCTCAGGTTAAGAACGGTTTCAGGTTAAGAACGGACCTCTGAAACGAATTAAGTTTGTAACCAGAGGTACCACTCTACCTCATTAAAGTTCTTCAAAACCAGCACTTTGAATTGAAAACTGATTGGCAGCCTTTGCAGTCTGACCAGGACTAGTGTTACAGTTTCATGCCATTTTGCCCTGGTGAACAACCTGGCTGCTAAATTCCGCACCAGCTAAAGTTTTCAAACCATCTTCAGTTCAGAAGCACCTCCATGTATATTAGGCATTGCAGTAGTCTACTGAGCCCACTGAAAAGTACTGGCCTGTGGAGATAAGCTCTTCCTGCCTGTGGTGTTTTATCTCTGACAATCCAATCACAAGTGTAAGCCATCACATGGCGCTGCAGTTATCAACCACTGAACATGCATGCGTGAGCCTGCTTTTGCTCAATGGTTGAAGGTTGAAGAACAAGTGTTGGGTCAGATGCAACTCAGCGCTATCTAGTTTCATGGGCATGTGGTTGTATGATTTGCAGTGGTCCAAAGCTTATTTGGGAGTGTAAATTCCCTATTCCTTTCTACATGCAGTGTGCATCTGAAACAAAGGCAAACGTTCCCCCCCCCCAATTGTCTTCTAAACAAGACAGAGCTTGAGGTGGCTCACCGCCAAGACCAGTACAGTGGTACCTCAGGTTACATACGCTTCAGGTTACATACGCTTCAGGTTACAGACAGAAATAGTGCTTCAGGTTAAGAACTTTCCTTCAGGATGAGAACAGAAATCGGGCTCCGGCGGCACGGCAGCAGCAGGAGGCCCCATTAGCTAAAGTGGTGTTTCAGGTTAAGAACAGTTTCAGGTTAAGTACGGACCTCTGGAACGAATTAAGTACTTAACCTGAGGTACCACTGTATCTGCTACCCAAAGCAATTGCTTCATATTCTTTCATAGCGACATAGTAGAACATGTGAAGAAACGCCAAATGTAAGGCTCCTCTGAGTATATTAAGAGTAAAAGCTGAATTTGAGCAAAGGGAGTGGTTCCAAAGTTTTCACAGGCAGTTGGGCTTGAGCCACTGCTGGAAATGGTTTTAACAGGCTGGTGGTTTCAAATTGGTTCATGTTCTTCCTCCTTTGTCCCAAGTCTGAGAGCATAAAGTGCCAACAAGAGGACTGGAAACGCCCTCTGATTGTTTACACCTGCTGATTGCTCTATCCACCTATCATTGTTGTCCCACGGGGTGGGGTGGGGGGCAGATAAAGATCCAAAAAGGCCCCACCCCACTCCTGCTCTAGAACGTGCCTGGGCTGCATGTGAACTTAATGCTTAAAGCAGGCTTCATCGATGGGCCATGTGCAGAGGGTTGTTTGACATTTGTGATCCCATGTGCCTGTAAAGACCATAAGGTAAAGGTAAAGGGACCCCTGACCATTAGGTCCAGTTGTGACCGACTCTGGGGTTGCAGCGCTCATCTCGCTTTATTGGCCGAGGGAGCCGGCGTACAGCTTCCGGGTCATGTGGCCAGCATGACTAAGCTGCTTCTGGCGAACCAGAGCAGCGCATGGAAACGCCATTTACCTTCCCACCAGAGCGGTATCTATTTATCTACTTGCACTTTGACGTGCTTTCGAACTGCTAGGTTGGCAGGAGCTGGAGCTCACCCCGTCGCGGGGATTCAAACCGCCGACCTTCTGATCAGCAAGTCCTAGGCTCTGTGGTTTAACCTACAGTGCCACCTGCGTCCATAGACCATAGGTTTCATTTATAGACCATAGGTTTATAGACCATAGGTTCATTTATAGACCATAGGTTTCATTTATAGCAGCCTTTCTCAGGTGGACTACAACTCCCATCATCCCTGGCCTCTGGTCCTCCTAGCTAGGCATGATGGGAGTTGTAGTCCAGCAACATCTAAGGCTGCTTTAAGGGAAACCCAGAAGCACCAACCCTTTTTTAAAAAGAAGATAAATGTCAGTGGAATCTTCAACAAGAATCTTGCACCCTGGAGTGCACCTTGTTCAGGAATCCAGCCACCCTAGTCGGTTCCCGCATTTCATAGTATGCTGTGATCGCTGAGCATACAAGCTTTCAGATAACTCTATCTTATGTGTGGGTGGTGCCATTTCCGCTCCTCACACGACGGCACTCATAGCCTGAACATCGGAAATAAGAGGGAACAATTCTGGCAAGAGTGGTTCATCTATAAGCGACCTTTGACCGTTTATTTCCAATTCTTATATATTTGCATAACTGCACACCCACCCACTGCATCTGCCGAGGGTGACATTTGACCAGAAATGGGAGCGATGACAATGGCCTTCTCCAAACCACAATCGAAATTAGCGTGGTGGCGCTTCATTCTGATAGCAATTCCCACACGCTTTGAGTGCAGGCGATTCTGGGCGGCTGAAGGGTGGAAGAAGCATGTTGCAGGAAGCACCGCATTTCCAGATTGCAAATGCTATCAAACGCCTGTTCTAAATGGGTAGAATAAGCCCAAAGATTTGCGTGCAATTATTTTTACAGGGAATGAGGAAAAGGAAGCAAGCAAGTGCGAGAGGGAGGGAGAAAGCTTGCAAGAAGGGACTGCATTATGAGATGCAAGGCAGACAAGAAGAAATGAAGGAGGAAATGAATACGAAACAAATGTATCTGGTGCTCAAAAAATCTGCTCGGGCATAAATGCCAACCCCTCCTAAAAGTCTCCATAAGACCCACTGCAAGATGCAAAACCTCTATGCCCAAATACTAGATACAGTGAAACCTTGGTTCTCAAATGCCTTGGTACTCAAACAACTTGGAACCCAAACACTGCAAACCCAGAAGTAAGTGTTCCAGTTTGTGAACTTTTTTCGGAAGCTGAACGTGCTCCGTTTTGAGTGCCGCACTTCCGTTTTGAGTGTTACACTGAGGTCTGTCTGTTTTTGCTATTTATTTTGCGTTTTTGTTTCTGCAGCTCTTTTTTGTTTTGTTTTTGTGACCGTGTGGTGCCCAGTTCAGCTACTGATTGATTGATTGATTGATTGATTGATTGTGTGACTGCAGTACATTGATTATTGCTTTCATTTTATGGATCATTGTTCTTGTCAGATAGGAAAATTCATGTTAAATTGCTGTTTTAGGGGTTGTGTTTAAAAGGATGACTCCATTACTTTCTATGGGAAAGCGCCCCTTGGTTTTGGAACGCTTTGGTTTTGGAACAGACTTCTAGAATGGATTAAGAATTCAAATTTCTGTTGTAGACCACCTTTTCTGTGATGTAGGTATGATGTTTGTGGGGCATGGCCTTGGGTTACGCTCCTTCTGTGATGTATGTATGATGTATGGAGGGGTTGTATTGAGCTCCAGGGTAGGGAATTTAAAATGTTTATATAAGGGCAGGCACACCTTGGTTCTGGGTCCTCCTCCTTTCCTGCGTGTGAGGGGAGCGCCCTCTTGCAACAGTTCAATAAAGATCAGGCTTACGAGCTGCTTTGCTTCTCAATGTTCTCTGGTTGGCCTCTGTTATTTTCTCCTACCGATGGAGAACCTACAAAGGACTCTATAAGGGCTCTTGTGTCCCCCATAAGGGAATAAGGGCAGATTTTGTTTAGTACAATATCTAGTATGCAAAAGCATGCTACAAATAACAGACTGATCATACAATTTTATAGCAAGAAACGCTTGATTGAGAAGAGAAGGCGCTTTGTTGCAACTAGATGGCGGTGACGGGGCCTGAGAGATTGAAGGGGACAGGATAAGGCTCTTCCTTCTCTCGGAAGTAGCGTATCAAAGAATGCACACCGCTTCGGACCGCCGGCTTTAGAGCTGCAGAAATCCCCATCCCCCAAACGCTGCCTGCCCCGCCTGTCACTGCGAGCAGTGTATCCTGGCTGACATCTACAATGGTATCTATACCACGTTCCTCTGCCAGCTCCTTGCAGTCCTTGGCCGCAAAGTAAATGGTGGTTCCAAGGTTGTAGGCGGTGCTGACTCCAGGAATCCAGTTCACGACTGCATGGACTTTTTGCTCCGTCTCACTAGTACAGTTGTCCGGGGTGGAACGTCGGCCTCTTGGAGGCCCGTGGCACTTATGGAGCCAGGTGTAGGCACCACGCTGGGGCAAGAGATAGCTACCCTCTCGTGCCACTACATGGAACAAACTGCTGCCATTAGAGGACACTCCAGCACAAGAATCCCGTAGGCGGTAACAGGCTCTGGAAGCCATCCCAAAGCCCCGGTAGACTCTGTATTCTTTGCCGTGCAGGAAGGATCCGTTCACCGGCACCAGATCCTGGCAGTGCCGGACCAGTGTTTGCGCCTGCAGGTTCAAGAAGCATCTCAAGGCAGTGCTGCTCTTCCTCTGACCAGGGGAGCGAGTGGTGTTCAGAGTCCTGGCCATCGCAAACAGGAGGTCATCCGTATCTGTCTGTCCCAACTCCTTGTAGAGGCGCAGGATGAGGGTTTCCGCATGCCGGCTACAGCCTGCCCTTTGCAGGGCCAGCACTAAGGCAGCTCGGATGAGGGTCTGGGAGAGCTCAGGCACATCAGCAAAACCGTCCAGGGCTTCAGGCATCAAGTCCTCGCAGGAAACCCCCTTTTGGGGCAAATGGGGGGATTTGGGGGAGATGGAGCTCAGGAAGATGCGGAGAGGAACAGAGGTGGAGTCAGAGGTCAGTGGGTGGTCTTCAGAAGCCTTCTCCCTGGGCTTTGCCATGGGCAGCAAGCGCCCTTCCGATCCATGGCATAGGAGCAGGAAGCCGACGAAAGTCAAGAAGGCCTTGGGAGGCAGCGAGGGCCGATACATGTTGGACAGATTCATTGGAAGTCCTGTTGAAAGGAGGAAACTGAGAAACATCTGGCACTCATATTTTTATGAGATGGTCTAGGGGCCCTGAGCTCCAAAGCCCTTTGGATCAGGTTCCAGGGGCACAGGAATACCACACCTTTAATTAACATAGCTTTAAAATCACATTAGCTGTGGCTTGTTAAGGCTGCTGGGAGCTGCAGGTCTGCGGCAGGTACGCTACAGTACAGGGAGCCAGTGTGGTGTAGTGGTTAGGAGCAGTAGTCTCGTAATCTGGTGAACCGGGTTCGATTCCCCGCTCCTCCACATGCAGCTGCTGGGTGACCTTGGGCCAGTCACACTTCTCTGAAGTCTCTCAGTCCCACTCACCTCACAGAGTGTTTGTTGTGGGGGAGGAAGGGAAAGGAGATTGTGAGCCGCTTTGAGACTCCTTCGGGTAGTGATAAAGCGGGATATCAAATCCAAACTACTTTACTCTACTCTGCTACAGTTCCCAGGATTCTTTGGGAAAAGTCACATGCTTTAAAAGTCTGATACGGATAGGACCAAGAGCTGCCCCTGGGCACCAGAAGTGCTTCCTCCCTTCATCAGGAGCACATTGTTTGGCTGAAAGAAGGCGGTTTTAAGAAGAGGAGGCTGGAACCCTTTCTCCCAGTGGCAGCTCACCCACCCACCCACTTGCTTGTCATTTTTCATTTGCTGCTCTTTCCAAGATTGAAAGCAGCAGAATGTTTTCAGAAGGGAAGGAGGCCGGAAAAAACAGCTCGCCTATCATCTGCCTCCTGGGAAAACAGAGCAGAGGAAAATGAGGGTAAGGGAGCTGGTGGCTCCCCAGATGTTGTTGAAACTCTAAACTTCCATCAGCCCCAGCTGCCGTGGCTAGTGGAATCGTAGTCCACCAACAGTTGCTCCACCCTTGGTGCAAACCTTCAATACCCAGAACCAGAAACGGTGGGGGTGGGAGAGAATGAATAAGGAGCATTTAGGGGGGGAAATGCTTTTATGGGCTCATCCGTGTTTCATGCCTAGAAAGCACAGGTCCCAGCAGATTTCTCCTTGCCCAGCTCCTTTCCACGGGGAAAACCGCTCTTTACCTCTCAATCAGAGCAAACGTCAATCCAGAGAAAACCTGAAATGCCATTTGATCCAATTAAGGCAGGCCTCCAGATGTTTTGGGACTACAACTCCCACCATCCCTGACCACTGGTCCTGTTAGCTAGGGATGATGGGAGTTGTAGTCCCAAAACATCTGGAGGGCCGAGTTTGCCTATGCCTGAATGAAGGGGTAAAGAGCCTTTTTTTTCCTGGGGGAAAGAGGAAGCGGATGAACCCTACCATCTAAAGGGAACATGCTCCGCAGGTCAGAGTCCCCTATGGAGCTGTCTGAGCTGGCTTAAAACAAACAAATGTGAGACAGGAAGCTCCATCACAAACAGAACGCTAAGCCGAAGGATGGAAGATACTTTCCACTGTGTGTGGTGTTTAAGAAGCAAATCAAGACCCTTCAAGCCCATTGGAGGACTCTCTCACAAATGTCAGTTAAAACAGCTCAACGATTGACAGCGTCATAACAAAATTTGATTCCAACCCAGGGTTGTTCCAGACCTTTCCCACTTCAAGTGGGGGGTTCTTCCACGTTGAGGTTTCCAAGGATGGGAATACCTCACATTTAAAAGAGGGAAAGGTTCAGGAGAACACTGGGGCAAGGGGGGGGGGTGTCATACGGACCTGCCCACATTAATGGGGAGGCAGGCTGGTTCAAATCCACATTTTCCTCCAATGTGGACAAGCTCTCCGTAAGCCACGACTCTCTGCTACACTGCCAAGTTCATTTGCACAAGGAACCCTCACAGGTCTGATCAATGTGATGATGATGATGATGATAATGATTTATTATTTATACCCCGCCCATCTGGCTGGGTTTCCCCAGCCACTATGAGCAGCTTTCAACAGAATATTAAAATACAATAGTCTATTAAACATTAAAAGCTTCCCTAAACAGGGCTGCCTTCAGATATCTTCTAAATCTGGTAGTTGTTTTTCTCTTTGACATTTGGTGGGAGGGCGTTCCACAGGGCGGGTGCCACTACCGAGAAGGCCCTCTGCCTGGTTCCCTGAAACTTGGCTTCTCGCAGCAAGGGAGCCACCAGAAGGCCCTCGGCACTGGACCTCAGTGTCTGGGCAGAACGATGGGGGTGGAGACGCTCCTTCAGGTGTACAGGACCGAGGCCGTTTAGGGTTTTACAGCTCAGCACCAACACTTTGAATTGTGCTTGGAAATGTACAGGGAGCCAATGTAGGTCTTTCAAGACCATATTTGATATTGGGTTCCTTTGGGAGAAAGGGTGGAACAGAAATGAAATAAAAGAATGCAATGCAATGTCAGGTGCTAATCCTATCAGCCTAGCACTCTGTCCTGCTACCTTGTCTCCAGAATGAAACCCTGGTTTGCTCCTCTGCAAGTCCCTTAAAACCTTTCCCCCCACGCCAGCCTTTTCCCACCCACTCGCCTGCCACCAGGAAGGAGCAGCTTACCTTTTCTGCAGAGGAGGCACAAGCGTATAGAGAATCTAGGTGGGAAGCTGGAGCCTTTTGCCCCAGTGCTTTAGATCTCTACCCTGGTTGGTCAGTCTTATCAGCAGACCTCATTGCAACACACAGCTTCACTATCAAGTTCTGGCATCTTTGCGAGGGTCACTGTCAACTAATTCCCCCCCCCCCCCGATGTAGCATTCCCTGCGTTGATTCAGCAGCTTATTTTAGTAGGGATTCCTGAGAACAGAACACAGGGGAAGTCCTTTGCAACCGACACAAGCAAAGAGCTGGAGCTATGTCCTTTTAAAGGTAAAGGTAAAGGGACCCCTGACCATTAGGTCCAGTAGTGACCGACTCTGGGGTTGTAGTGCTCATCTTGCTTTATCGGCCAAGGGAGCCGGCGTACAGCTTCCAGGTCATGTGGCCAGCATGACTAAGCCGCTTCTGGCAAATCAGAGCAGTGCACGGAAACGCCGTTTACCTTCCTGCCGGAGCGGTACCTATTTATCTACTTGCACTTTGACGTGCTTTCGAACTGCTAGGTTGGCAGGAGCAGGGACTGAGCAACGGAAGCTCGCGGGAATTCGAACCACCGACCAGCGGCGTAGCGTGGGGGGTGCAGGGGGGGCCGGCCGCACCGGGCGCAACATCTGGGGGTTAGGGTTAGGGGGCGCAAATCCACGGGTTAGGGGGCGCAAATTACTTGCCTTGCCCCAGGTGCTGACAACCCACGCTACGCCACTGCCGCCGACCTTCTGATCGGCAAGTCCTAGGCTCTGTGGTTTAACCCACAGCGCCACCCGCGTAAGCCACTCCTTGCCATCAAGGGCACTATGGATGACAGATAGATCCAGGAGTATCCTCAAGCTTTGCACCTGCTCCTTCAGATGGTGTTCGTAAGTGGCCCACCTATAAATCACTTATAAACACCATCTCCAACTCCTCGAAAGATTCCATCAATGGCGTCTCCGAATTTTTTTACACATCATTTGGGAAGACAGGCCAGTGTACTGGAAGAAGCAAAGATCAGCAGTAGAAATGATTCTTCAACATCAACTTTGTTGGACTGGTCATGTTGTGCGGATGCCTGGTTATCGTCTTCCAAAGCAACTACTCTGTTCCGAACTTAAAAATGGAAAGTGTAATGCTGGTGATCAGCAAAAGAAATTTTTATTTTTTATTTTTTTTCTGTTTTATTAAATTTGCTTAGTAACATAACATTATTATATATATTTTATAAAACAAAGAATACGGAACAAAATTCATTCATACTACACTTCCGGAGGCGGCGCCAACAGTAATGGCGATCTCCTCATAACTCTTGAGGAGAGGCTCCGCGGAAACTGGGTCGATCCGCTACGGCGCAGCGGAGACCCTTCCGAAACCCGCAGGCGGAGGAAGCCTGCGGTCGTGGGACTCGGCGGGTGCCTGGAGCGCGCCCTGAACGGCAAAGGAACCCCGCGAGGGGCTCCGAAGCAGGACGGGGTAGCGCGGCACTGTGAGTCGTCTGCTACTTTCGCGGAGTGAAGCCGTGCAGCTGTTGCTGGAGAGCGCTGACCTTTCTTCCTTGACAATTCGGCTGTCAAAAGTACAACCCGTGAGTAGGTTTCACGCTATAAGGATTAACAAAAATTTTTGAACTTATTCGGCTGAAGCGGGAATGGTGTAAAAGGAAGTCCACCTCCCGGTCTGTACAGAGAATAAAGCAAAGACTGTGTGAGTTCGATACCAATGAATGCCAAAAAGACTGAAACACAGACTTCTAATGTAAAATTTCCCCCCCCCATAATTGGATTAGGGGGGGCAGAAGAGATAGTATTGCTTTTATTTATTGTTATTCCTGAGTAACTTAAAGACTTAATTTACTGTTATTTCTGAGTAACTTAAAGAGCAAATAAGAAAATAAAAGACCACCTCTCAATCCCTGGGGACAGACTGCCAGGCTTTGGAAGATTGGACACTTTGTTAGCACTCTAAATGGACAATGTATCTTTTTGCCTTTTAACTTTACAAAATTGAAACTTTGGGACAGTTTTACAACTTTGGGAAAAAGTTGCCTCTTTGGCTGTTTGAGAGTCTTTATTTTTGATACTTTATTACTTGTGTCCCCCTGGAGGCCAAAAGGGAAAAAGTCTTTAATTGACTGAGGAATTTTCCACCTAACAGCAGCCTGGGAAAGTACAATAACAAAACAATTTTGACTGTGAGAGTGACCTTGACTTTTAGATAAAGTGCCATGGAAGGAAGAGATCTGAGGTCTGGGAAAGGCAGGCAGCAGAGCAACATTGCACAACAGCAACAGCGTAGGCAATCCATAGCTGGACCACAAGGGGAGGAAGAAGGATTGGCCAGTTTATTTAAAATTGTGAATGAAGGTTTTGAAAAATTGGGTCAACAAAATGCCGAGGCTCTAGAAGCCATTAGACAAAACTCTGCAAGTATTGACAAGTTGACCCGACAGACTAATGAAAATACAGATGTGATTAAAAACTACTGGAACAATCTGCTGAAACTCAAAAACAGCTTTGGAAGCCAGAGAAAAGGCGGTAGCTGCTGAAGAAAAACTACCACCTTTAATTAAACAAGTTCAAGAGCACCACATAAGATTGGGAACGCACCAGGAATTGTTATCTCTTCTGGAGTTAAAGGAGAAACAGACCAACTTAAGGATCAGAGCAGTACCTGAGATTGAAAAAGAGAGCCTGGCAGACTTTCTGACGCAAGAATTTGCCAACTTTTGGCAATTGAATGATAAGGAAGATTTCAAGATAACGTCTGCTTTTAGGCTCGGAAGAAGAGCAAGGAAAAATAGAGTGAGAGACTGCCTGATTACCCTGCGATCAAAAGAGGAACGAGATAAAATTTTGAGCCTACATTATCAAAATACACTGACAATACAAGACTCAAGGATAGAAATATTTAAAGACATTCCAAAGCTTCTTTTGGAGCTTAGGTCTAACTATCGAGACCTGGTGACGTTGCTGAGAGGAAACAGAATTTTTTTCAGGTGGGAGTTCCCTCAAGGCCTATCTTTCAGTTTTAGAGGCAAAAAAATTAAAATTAAATCTGTGGAGGAGAAACAGAACTTTTTGAGAGACTACCAAGAGGACCTACAAAAAGGATTGGAGCCAGAAGCCCCTTTAACAGGATTGGATCTTACATTACCACCGTTGGGAGAGGATAAGACAGAGAAGCCGAAACCACCAACAGAGGAAGAAGAGTTATTGGGAGCAGTTGGAGGGAAATAAAGAAATCATCATGGCTCTGCAACTTTTAACTTGGAATGTTTGTGGTCTGAATTCTCCGGAAAAAGAAGGAAAGTATTTCATATACTTAAAAAGAACAATTGGACTTAATTTGCTTACAGGAAACCCATGTGACGAGGCTCCATAGGAAAATATTGATTAATAAGAGACTGGGCCAAGAATTTATCTCATCAGACAAAGTTAAAAACGAGGAGTGGTAATTTACGCAAAGGAGAGCCTCTCACCAAAATTTGTCTTTAAGGATGAACAAGGAAGATTCATAGCAATTGAAATTCAAGTACAAGGAGAAAAATTTTTGATAGTAGGTGTATATGCACCAAATGAGGGGAAATCTATATTCTACAAAAAGTTGCATGAGACCTTGATGGACTATATGGACTATAATACTGTTTTCATGGGAGATATGAATGGGGTGGTTTCTACAAATATGGACAAGTCACAAAGAGAGGTAGTTACTAAAGATGGTAGACTACCGAAAACATTTTTTGAACTAACTGACAATATGGATTTGATTGACATTTGGAGAACTAAGAACCCCCTTGATAGAGAAGGAACCTTTTTTTCTGAAGCCCAGAAGACATGGACAAGAATTGACCAAATCTGGACTACTAGAGGACTGGCACCCAAGGTTAAGAAGGTAGAGATCTGCCCAAAAACATGCTCCGACCATAACGCCGTGAGAATGGAGATGAAGTTAACATCTATTGGTTCCTTCCGATGGAGGATGAATGACACCTTGTTTAGAGATCAAGAGGTGATTAAGAAGGCCCAAAAGACATTGAGGGACTATTTTGAGATAAACTTGAATACAACTGTAGAAAAAAGAGTAATCTGGGATGCAAGCAAAGCTGTTATGAGGGGCTTCCTGATTCAACAGAATTCAATTAAGAAGAAGGCCCAAAACGTAAAGAAAGAAAAAATTTTGGAAAAAATAAAGGAGGGCGAGAAGAAATTGAGAGTGAAGCCCAATTCACAAGAGATTCTGAGGGAAATAAAATTGTACCAAGTGCAATATATGAAATTGATAAATCAAGAAGTGGAATGGAAAATTAAGCAAATGAGACAAAAGACTTTTGAATCGGCAAATAAATGTGGGAAACTGCTGGCTTGGCAGTTGAAGAAGCGACAAAAACTTAATACTATTACTAATTTGGAAGTGGAAGGGAAAAATATCCAGAATCCAGAAGAAATTAGGAAATGCTTCCAGAGATATTTTAAACGACTATACACACAAGGGCCTCAGAAAGAATTTGAGATAGAGCAATTTTTTGTAATCCATTGGTTTTCAAAAATTGCTCAGGACAACAAGATATTGTTGAACTATAAAATCACAGAACAGGAGGTTGAAGGTGCCATTCAGAATATGCAGTTGGGAAAATCTCCAGGACCGGATGGTTTAACCTCAAAATATTACAGAACTTTGAAAGACTGGTTAATTCGACCTTTAACTGAGGTTTGTAATGAAATCTTAGAGGGGAAAAGAGCGCCAGAGTCGTGGAAAGATGCATTTATTACACTTATACCAAAGGCCGAGACTGAAAAGACACAGCTTAAGAACTACCGGCCCATATCCCTGTTAAATGTGGATTACAAAATTTTTGCTGACATTTTAGCAAAAAGGCTTAAAAAGTGCTAAAAGGAGTGATTCACAAGGACCAAGCTGGCTTTCTTCCAGATAGACATCTCTCGGACAACACAAGGAACATAATTGATATTCTGGAGAAGCTGCAAGAGGAGATCAATACTAAAGCAGTTTTGATTTTTGTGGATGCAGAGAAAGCCTTTGACAATATTTCTTGGAGTTTTATGAAAAAA